GCCATTACAAGGTGCAGGAGCTAAATTTTTCTCCTTTTTTCTTCTTTTTTTAATTTATTTTATAATGGGCTTTGATTGTATTTGTATACTTCAATATTGGATGTTAATCGATTTGTCACTCACCGTTGAATATACTTACTGTTTGTTCTTATTGTTATTTTTATTTACTTGTTTTTGTATAAATAAAAAATATGAAAAATAATTGTGCTTTTTTTTTTTACCTTACCCATTTGGTCCAGCTACATGCTAGCCTGTCTATGTATCTGTTGCCGTATTGCTGCTGAATAATTGAATGTCAGTGATTTATCCTTTTTTTTTCGCATTTTTTCTTATCCTTTGGATTTTTATTTATTGGCACTTGTCTCTCTCAAATCTGGCAGATTGAAAATTCAAACAGTTCCAAAACATTTGGTCAACGGTTAATGGCTTAATGCTTTGCTTTCCATGCTTGCCTAATATATAAATAAAAATTCAATTTTTCTGAGGTTTTTCAAATGTACATAATTAACAATGTGATTGCATCTTTATATATTTGTGGTCTTGTAAAAAAAGTTTATAATTAAAAAATATAAGGAATAAGATGAAACATAAACAAAGTTGCCGGCAGGAAGAGTTCTTATATATAAATTCCCAAATTTTATATATTTTTAGTGGTTGGGTTGTTAATGATGGGATCCATCAAATTCTAAGTTCTAACACTGTCCAAATTAAAGGTAAGAGTGGTCCCCTTCATAGGTTTATACATACAGGCCCCACAGATTTATCATTGTATATTTTCAAAAATGCAAAGTATGCAGTAAGATTTTGATTGCCTTTCTATGGAGTTTATTTTATAATATCGTTAAGAGGTGAGATTCCATCGGTTATGGAGACGAAGGGACCACAACAACTAGTAAAGCCTGACATTGGTAATGTGGAAGGTCAATAATTTGACAATTGCAATTTTAATTACTGGTTGTTCACCCAAATTTCTCTGAAACCTAACCAAACTAACTTATGGGGAATACCTTATCAAGACGGTGAATGGGAGTAGGAAAGTGAAGGTATCTTCATCTTCTACCCCAATTAACTTGAAACAGGGTTTCTTCAAAATGATCCAAGTACAGTAGAAACTCTTTAAATTAATAATGTCTTTAAATTAATAATGTCAAGACCGGAAAAATTTATTAATTTAGAGAGTTATTAATTTATAGATAAATTAATAATTATTAATTTAAAGAGTTTTTAAGTAATTATACTGTACATACTAAATAAAAAGGCAAATTAATCTATGTTTCTTAGAATTACGTTGCAGCGAACTTTGGGACTCAACGTACAGTAAATTAGTAACTACACTACATATGCATTGGAAATCAATAATGACTTTTGAAGTACAGTAAATGTAAACAAGAGGAACAAATGTGTTCAATGTATTCTTAAGCAAGTTTGGCATATATAAATTACATGAATGTGTTAGAGTATTCAAACCATATCTCACAAGATGGCTTCTCATCTAAAAGGTGTTGCAAAATTAACTATGTCAGATCAAATACGTAAGGAGTTGTGTGAGTATAAGAGAGATAATCCTGCAAGCACACAAAAAGACTTGCAGAGATGGCTTGAGGGAAAATTTCAGTTGAAAGTTAGTCAAGGAACAATATCAAACACACATAAGCGGTCAAATGACTATCTCTCTGCTAAAATAGAAAAGGAAAGAGCAGAGGTCAAAAGACACAAACTAGCAAAATATCTTGACATGGAGAAGGTTGTTTATGAGTGGTTTCTTCAGCATTCGTTTTGGCGAGAGTGGGTCTGTTGATATACAAGACATGGAGCAGAAATTGGTATCGATTCGGGAGAAAATTGATCAGTTCCCTATGAAAGATGTTTGCAATATGGATGAAACTGAGTTGTTTTATAGGCTACAAGCTAATCATTCACTGGCAACAAAACAACTTGAAGGAAGAAAACAAGATAAAGAAAGGCTGACGGTAGTTATTTGTTGCAATGAAGATGGCTCTGAAAAAATCCCTCTATGAATTATTGAAAAATATGCAAAGCCTCAAGAATGTCAACATGAATAGCTTGAATTGTCAGTATCGAGCTAACAAAAAAGCATGGATGATTAGTGTGCTTTTTTATGAATATGTTCGTTCATTTGACCAAATGATGCATGGTAGAAGAGTTCTACTTGTGGTGGATAATTGTCCAGCACATCCAAGAAATATTGAAGGGCTAAGAAACGTTGAGTTATTCTTCTTGCCACCCAACATGACATCAAAGATTCAACCTTGCGATGCTGGGATAATAAGAGCTTTCAAGATGCATTACCGTAGAAGGTTTTACTGCAAAATATTGGAAGGTTATGAGGTGGGACAATCTGATCCAGGGAAGATAAATGTCCTTGATGCTATCAATTTGGCAATCCCAGCTTGGACGATAGATGTTCGGAAAGAAACAATAGCGAATTGCTTCCGACACTGTAAAATTTGTTCAGATAGTGACGTTGCAAGAAATTTGGATGAATCCACTTTTGATGAAGAAACTCAAGACCTCGAGACTATGATCAATCAATGTGGCTATCGTAATAAGATGGATATTGACAATCTAATGAACTACCCAGGTGAAAATGAAGCATGTTCGGAGGTTCAGAGTTTAGAAGATATTGTGGGTACTATCATTGAGAACAATGCAGAGGATGATGACGAAGATGATACAGTGTCTTTGGAGCCTGTTACGCGAAAGGAAGCACTTATGGCGTCAAACACTCTTCACAACTTTATAATACAATACAAAAATACAACACCTGAGCTATTGGATGCAATAAGAAAAGTTAGAGATGAGCTCCAAATAGACTTGAACTTTAAAGAAAAACAGACAACTATTGAATCATATTTCAATAGAGTGTAATATATTTTTTTTTTCAGTTTCTATGAATTATTAATTTATGATTTTCTTGAGACCGAAAATTATAAAGGGATCTCCCGAAAAATTATTATCTTATTATTTTAGAGAGTTTATTAATTTATCGAGTATTAATTTAAAGAGTTTCTACTTTAATAGAGTCCTTAGTTTGGCACTCAAATTATTAACTTGAATCTCACACAGTTCTAATTTAGAGATCAAATTATGAGCTTTTAAGTTATATTTTTTTAAATAATTAATTAATTTTTATTCTTTATTTTATATTTTAATATATAATTAGCAGTGATAATTTTTTCATATATAAAAAGACAGAAAATACTTTTTTAATTTACAAGACACTGTATAAATATTTATAAAAGATAGTGCGTTTTCAATGGAAGAGCTTAATCTAAAAATATATAAATATGAATTTAACATAAAAGTTAATAATATTAAACTATACTTATAACTATAACAATTTAAATGTAAATCTAAACATGTTGCAAGTTGTTGGTTAATTTTATGGCTAGTGCCTCTGTCTCTTTGGGTTAATATTTTATTGAAAGTTAACTTTCATTTTCAAGCCATCTTATTTTAATGCTTAGGGTATGTTAAAATATTTAATAAAATAACGTTAAACTATGTTTAATATAAAAACTATAATTTATAATGTTAAAATATATTCACGCTTAAGTAAATTTAACACAATTCTAAACGCATACCGTTAATCAAATTATATTAACGAGTTAATTGTTACTTATTGGTACTAAGTAGCAGTCATGTTTAATAAATACTATTTTACGTGACTCCTTTTATATAAAAATAATAAGAAACAGAACTCGACGATAAGCAGAGGTGGATTATCCCTCTAAGGCTGAGTTTGGGCCTGTAAATGAGGATGAGATAGCCCATTTAGCAATGGAATCATCCACAGAATAGGCTTCACGAAACACGAGTGTCATTTGAAAATTCCACGGCCTCTGAATCATCTGAAAAATCTAATGGATCAGTACGTAAATAACTGCTGCATGCGACTCCTTCCACTTAGCTATATAAAATAGCGTTATTTTTTTTATAAAATTAAATACAAGTCGTATTATTGTTTTATATTATATTATTTTCTTTTAATATAGTATTATTATATTTCTAAAATATACATTTATTTATTTTACAATTATATATCGCTAAATCAGTCTAATTTTTTTTAGTTCTTAATTTCATGTTATTGTTTTTTTTATAACATGACCCTATTTTAATGAGATTTACTTTGAATCACATTTTATTTTATTTTACATTTTAAAAATGTATATATATTTTAATTTTATTTATTTTGACACGTTGAAGTAACTCCAATTAAAAAAACTCTAAACAAAATTGCAATGATAGATATAATTAATGATCTTCTAATACGTGTTGCTTCTACTAATGAACTGAATTGTGTAAAAATAAAATAAAAATATCAATATTTAATATGCATAAAATTTAATAATTTTAGTTCACAATTTTTACCTTTATCTATTAAAGTATTTATTTGATATCGTTGTTACTAAATAACTTTTTTTTAATATTTTATCAATATACTAATGTTTGTATATGCATTCAAGTAATGTTATAATGTTTTTTACATTAACACTTATCGTATATATAATTATTTATACATTGTATATTTAATATTTGGATCGTAGAAATATTTTTTTTAACATTAAATACTTAATCTCTACATCAGTGACTAATTAGTATATATTTGATTTAATTTTTATAAAGTAAAAAAAACGTAAAATATTTGGTTTTGTTTAAATAAAAAGTGAATAAATGCTTTTCTTTATTTCAAGTATTTTTATTTTTAGACGAACTAAACTTATACATGTTAAATTTGAGTGCTTATTTATAAATAAAAGTTTTTTTAAAGTTGATTTATTTTGACCTTTTCACACTAAATAAATTTTTATTACTTTTAAATAATTACAAATATAATTTTTTATTTTAAATTTATTTTATTTTATATTCTAAATATTGTTTCAATTTCATAAAATAATCACATAATAAATATGTTTAAAACATTGGATTTTAAAAAGAAGGCAGTTAAATACTTAAATAAATCATAACGAGACACTTGTAGAAGCACAGAGACCCTCACCCTTTTGAGTCATTTCATTTGGCTCATTCGTATCTCCGGCTTCTGGTTGAAACCTAGTTGAAGTGTTGCCCGCAACATGATTGGCCAAACCATGATGGTTGCAAATTTACGGGTACCCATGCCCATACCCATGCCCATGGCCACGGCCATGCCCACAAGGCGATGCAGAAATCTGAGAACATCATGCTCCGCTTTTGGCGCCACAAACAAAGCGAAAAATCCCATACCCCCTTTCAACCCTAAAGACCCCTTTCTCTCTAAGCTCGCTTCCGTCGCTGCTTCTTCCCCTGAAACGTTCATTAACCCTCCCATTAACTCCGATAACCCTCCTTATTTGGACATTTTCGACTCTCCTCAGCTCATGGCCACTCCCGCTCAAGTAACAATATCTATTGTTTTGTTTTGTTTTTGTTTTTGTTTTTGGTACATGGCACTTCCTATTTCAAATAAAAATTCTCTGTATGTTTTGTGCTTACGTGACTTTGTGTCAGTGATTAGTGTTGAAATGTGAGAGTGTTTTCTAATCAGTTTAGTGTTTGAAATAGGTGGAAAGGTCTGCTTCATATGATGAACACCGGCCCACGACACCGCCACCCGACCTGCCTTCGCTGCTTCTCAATGGTAGAATTGTTTATATTGGCATGCCTGTAAGTGTTTACATTGCATTCTTGCTTTTGGGGCCAATTATGCTCTTTATGTATGTATTACTTATACAATATTTCAAACAGCTTAATTTGGAATTGCTTATTTTTTAAAAGCTCTCCCTGGAAGCTTTGATGTGCTTGAACGTTGTTTTCCTGTCAATTCCCTTAATTAAATACTTTACTGTTGTGATTTTACTTGTTATGACTGGTTCTACCTCTCAGTTGGTGCCAGCTGTCACGGAGCTTGTAGTTGCAGAGTTGATGTACCTGCAGTATATGGATCCTGTACAACCAATATATATGTACATAAATTCCACTGGGACTACGCGAGATGATGGTGAAACGGTAAGTGGCTTCTGGTTTGTAAATTATATGAAACGTTTGGTGTACTATGCACACATTCTATGTGCAGTTTAGATAGTTTAAGATGCTATATTAATCTGCATGTATGCTTTGTTCCTTCCTTACCCTCTCAGCTTATGCATTTTGAGCTCTTGCATTCAGGTTGGGATGGAGACAGAAGGTTTTGCCATTTATGATTCAATGATGCAGTTGAAAAATGAGGTTTGTTTCTTTCCATTAAGAATACACTTCAAATGTCTATTTACTTGTAAGTCTTGTTGACTATTATTGATCATGATACTTGGTAGTAACATGCAAGGTTGTCAAACTTAAGAGTCTATGTAAACTCATGGAGCTGTAGACTTGGCTCATAAACTAGAAGTTTCCCAAATACAATAATAATGTTAAAAATAGTGACAGTACTATTTCTAGAGGCATTCATCCTAGTTTTAGAAGTGGATGCTTGAGGACTTTGACCCACCAATTTTAGATATATTATACAATCAAACAACACTGCACATATGAGGGGGGAGGGGCTTTACCAGGAAAATACGATGGCTTGATGAGACAACAGGGGAGGTTGGGTACATATTGGGACGTTCACAGAGGTAACACAGTACAACCGGGGATGTAGGGTAACTTGTTGCCATAGGGGAGGTTCAGCCAAGACGATGGAGGAAGGTCATTGTAGTTCATCGGGGGTTGCAGGCAAGGGTCTGCCACCACCTGCAAAGCCATCTGTTGTGTATATCATGGGTCATTTGCAGATCATGTGGGTTATGGGTTCTTTGTGCTGGAGATTGTGCCAGTTGTGGATGTCGGAGGTTCCTAATGCTGTCAGCGGAATGGATTCTTGAGGTGGGTCCAAGGCCTAAAACCTTGGGATTCTTGTGGTGTTATTAATGCAGAAAACAAAAGGAGAGAAACCCCAAACTAAAATGCTGTCGATTTTGGCATTTTGTGGGAAACTTTCGGTATTCACATGGACTTGTTAACTTGGAGTCAGAATTTCCAAGTTTGTCTGAGTTACTCAAGTGAAGTCTATGAGTCTGCTCCAAAGCAAGTTTCCATGCAATTCAACTTGAATTTCACGTGTAGAAATGTAAAACCATGTACGTAAATTCTCGTGTATGATTTTACAAGTTAATCTGTAAGTTTCACCACCACGGTAATATGAATGGACAAGATCTTGGATTGACTTGGGTTTCTGGAAAACATGAAGAATGTGATGTATTCATGCCATGGTATTTGTGACATTCTGGCATCAGTTGTTTGGGTGTTATATGATTGGCCAAGTTCTGAGGTAGGCAGTTCTAATCCTGTATTCAGAAGTTATTAAGCAGTTTATATTAATTCTGGATTAGTAAATTATATGTTATGTGACAGTTCTAATTGTGAAATATAGGTTGTGTAACAGACTTGTAGAAGGAAATTAAGGTGTCAGACTATTATTTCTGGTGTCTTGAAGGAGGAAACTTCTTGTTAGGGGGAAACCCTGTGTTTGTACTCAAATTTGGCCTGAAAACCAGATTATTTATATTATTTATCTAGAATCTCAATTTGTTTATTTCTCGAGTCCAACATTACGTGGATGATTCCTGCTGCTGGTAGCATGGTGGCCATACCATCTGCTTATAATCGTGTGCATTCATTTGATGTGCCACAATTTAGGGTTTATTGGTATATGACCTTGCTTTTATTTTTTAAGACTTAATCTTTGTAACTTATTTCTATACAGCTCTAATGGACAATGGATTGATTATTTGTCTTCTTGTTCTTCCTTGCTGAGCTGCATGCTTCTCTGTTCACTAATGTTTGAATACATCTTTTATCATGTATTTGGATTTTATGTCCTGAGCAGATACACACAGTGGCTGTTGGAGCTGCTATAGGTCAAGCCTGTTTGCTACTTTCAGCAGGGACCAAGGGTAAACGGTTTATGATGCCACATGCCAAAGGTACAGTGTGGATATATCATATATGTTTGTGGCTTGCTTCTTCAGTTCTTCACCGATGTGATACTTTCCTATTGTTTCATGTTTCAGCCATGATTCAGCAGCCTCGTATTCCATCATCTGGGTTGATGCCTGCAAGTGATGTTCTTATTCGTGCAAAGGAGGTTAGTCAAATTTGTTTTTACTGCGTTGCATTTTTCATCGCTGGAATGACAGACTTTGTTGGTTTCTTTTTTTTCCCATGTTATTCTTGTCTGTTAATGGGCATGTAAAGCTGCCATACTTTTTCTAGGACTAATTTTCTCAACAATAAAAGGCTTCGCAAGAACACTTCATTCATGTTGAAGCTTTTATAGTAATTTCAATTAGAGTTCAAGAATCTTAAATTTTATCTTCACTTTCATATTTTAAATATTATCTCTTGATGGAATTCCTTAGTTGTAGATTTGCCCCAAAATATTAGCAAATTTTTATTGATTTCTAAACCTAGTTTTCATAAATAGCTGTGAAGTGTGAATTTAAGTGCCTTTTACTTTAAAATCTCGTACTTTATCTTCACTCACATATGGTAAATGCAAATTTGTGATGGAATACCGAGTCACTTATTCCCCATGTGTTTGGGAGCAGTTATTCATTTTATCATTCTTACTCTTTAAGTCTATTTTCTATTATATATATAGATGCTAAATGCAAACTTGGACATCTTTGTTTTATTCCATCCTATCGCCTCCTTGCTATGTTCTTTTATTTTATTTCTAAACTGTGTCCAACTAGTCTTTAAAACCTTCGTTTTTCCTAAACATTTTTTGCAGGCAATAGTTAACAGGGACACACTGGTTGAACTGCTGGCCAAACACACGGGAAATGTCAGTATCATGCATAGGTACTGGATGTCATATTTATTCAGGATGAGGAAAAATCTAATATTTCTGTTATTTGCTTCTTTTCTAAATTAATAGTCACAGGAAACAGTGGCTAATGTGATGAAGAGACCATATTATATGGATGCGCAAAAGGCTAAGGAGTTTGGGGTCATTGACAAAGTAAGTCCTTATTTATGTTGTGTCTGTAGTAGGTTGTCTTCTTTATTCTATGCTCACGAACATGCTTTACTGAACAAACAAATGTTTGAACACAATGTTCGCAGATTCTGTGGCGTGGCCAGGAGAAGGTTATGGCTGATGTTATTCCTGCAGAGGAGTGGGACAGGAGAGCTGGTATTAGAGCTGCAGATGAATTTTAGCTTGTCTTTTGTGCATACACATCTTGTCAATGTAAGTGAATCAGAGCATCCGCACTCATTTTGTTATTGTAAAATGTGGAATCTTTGTTTGCTTATTTGTGGTGAATGGTGATGCTTCCTCTGTTTTAGGGGGTGGGAAGGGGGCTTGCTGCATGAGATTTGACAGCAAGAAGTAGGTAGATGATGTGTCCCTCATTGAAGTTACTAAGCTCCTCTGAGAATAAAATCTATAGGAGATTGCAACATGTATGGCACCGGTGGTGTTTGGAGAAATAGAAAATCAGTTCTAATTGTTTAAATTAAAATGTAAATCCATAAAAATTTGATCTAGTTTCAAAATGTTATAGTATTTATTTTGTCTTAAATTTGTTTTTGAGGCAGTTTAATAAAATATTGTTTGGTTTATCTCAATGAATCTTTGTTTAAATTATAGATAAAGTGAACAAGAAGGATATCGGGGGAAAATTAAGCAGCTTATGATTGGATAGGACCTAGTTAGTCTCTCTTTGGAACCATTCTGTTTTAAATGGCCGTACTTATTTAACTTAACCAGTTTTGGCACCTCTAGTGAACAAATTGCAATGCGATGTGTATCAACGATGTAGACTTTGTTGAACATCAAAGCCATAGCTTGATATATTCTTGTCCATACGGTCAATTCTTCTCTGTAATTTAATTTGCTCTGGCATGTTAGTTTTTCAAGAATGATAAGAGCAGTGTGTGTTATTTTTGTGATGTAGGATTTAATCTTAAGTTTTACGATGCTGTCCTGTAGGTCAAAAGTTTCGGGTCCTGTTACATAGGCAGGAGCTTTTTTTCATTGTCTACGGGTCGTAAAAATGTTCCACAGCTGTTCACAGAAGACTGGCCTGTAGTTTTTATGAGCCAATGTGCCCAGAAGACAGAGGAAATTAACTGTGACCATTCATTCATGTGGTCGTTGGTTCTGATCATTAGTCGGTCATTGATTGCCTACCGGCACTACACAGTGGTTGTGATTAACATTTACTAATACACAATTTAATATAGTACATGCATATTTTGTAATCGTCGTTTGATATCATTCGACCGGAGAGATCACTTGCCGCCCTTCTCTCAATACAAGTTAGTTTGTGCTTTGACATGAAGAATTTGGCGTAGCATATGCCTTTCCGTTTTTGAAATCAATAAACTGAAAAGAAGAAAAAAACATTTCATGGATATTTCGTGTGTTTAAACTAGTTTAAAATTATAGTTGATCGATAATTTAACCATAGTTCATTTGATATGTAGATTAGGATAACATTTCCTGAATCGTCGCAATTATTACATTTTCAATGTGTTTATTTTATTTTGAAGTTAAAGCGTTGTAAGCAATATTAATGTTTGGATTTTCTTACCATATCAATTAATACAATATGATTATGTCAAAAACGAAGGCATTTTTAATCGAACAAGAATCCATCATGATTAGTGACAGAATTTATTAGCTAATTTTAATCCAATGTTATTGACGGACAGAACCTTGTTATTTTAAAATGAAGTCCCGGATTCTTGGAGAAGGCATCTTGGGTCAAATTCTCTACAATTTTTGACTAAAACGCGACTTCTGGCAAGGCGACCATGTTAGGTCCATCATTCAAGTAGAGACGAAATATGCATGCAACGGCAACAATGGCCGTCCTTTGACATCAATGGTAACGCCAAAAGCATAGTATTATTTGTGTGGCGGTGCTGTTGGAGTGTTACTGGGTTACAATGTCAATGAGATGTACCTCAGCCTCTATACGATTCGCACTATTCCTCTCATTTTCTCTCACGGCCTCATCATCTTTACCACCACTGCCATTCTTTTCCAAGCGTGACGCTCCATCCATCCCCGAACCCAAAGCCACTCCCTCTGACTTATTATCTCTGTTGGGATCCAAATCTAACTCCTCAGCAGTCAATCCCGTGGCAGCACGCCAACTCAAATCATGCTTCAGATTCCTTGTTCCTTTCACTCCACTCGACCCTCCCCGCCACCGCAAATTGGGCCCCACCGAACCAACCGGCCCAACTCAGAGTCACGAGAACGAGCTTATTTGGTGGCCGCCTGGGCCGGTTTTGGAGCTGGCCCGCCTCGCCGTAGATTCCGGTGGGGACCCCGCTGCTATTCATCGCGCTCTTGACCCAACCGTTATCCCAGTCAGTTTCTTTTGCTCTTCTCCTTTGTTACCATTGCATTTCCTATCATATGACGGGGTGATTTTTCGATAACACAGGTGCCTGATGTTGAAGGATCAAAGGAAGATCGATGTGAACTCACCAGAACCCCTTATGGCAGACGCTTCATTTGTGAGGTTCGCTCCTCAATTCGAAGAATAGGTCACGGGAGAGAAAGAGTACTCAATTGCTGATGTATTGTTGCATTTCTCTCTGAAATTTCAGGAGCTGAATCTGTATCTACAGTTTTTGTTTGAACTCATTGTTGATCGAGGTCCATCTGTTGGGTTGAATGTTGCCTTGAGCCGGTTTGATCTGTTCCATGGTCACCTCTTTCTAGCCACAGGCTCTGGAAGACTCGGTATCTTGTATGTTTTATATATTTTTGTTAGTTTAACTTTCTTTGTTAGATATTAGGTGTAATCCACTTTTTAAGACTATTTGAGTTTGTCACAGTTAAAAATGCAACAATTTCACATTTGGCAGATTCCATGCAAAGGAATACCCAGCATATGATAAACAAGTGTTCCCATTCAATATGGGATTTTGTCAGAGAGGTAGGTACATAACCATCACCACATCTATAAATGTTATCTTCCAGTTTGTTGTAGGTTTTGTGTTTTGAAGTTCTGTACTATTTATTCTCTAAATCATGTATGTGTGTTTTTATTTTTTGTTATGTGTGTGAGGGAGGAGACATGAGATGGTGAGAGAGGAGAGAACCTTGATGATGCTAAGTTTTAAGACCTCTTTGTGAATGACAGATATTTAAATGTTTGATTATCTTTTCTTTTGATACTCAACTTTGAATAAGGCATTTGGTTTTTTCAATTCTCTGCTCCTTTCAGGATCCAATGTGACATATGATGATTCAATGAACCTGCGAAATATTCTTTGGCTGGCTCCACTGCCTGGCGATTCTGCTGAATCTTGGGTGGCACCAGGTACCTTCACTAAAGTTACTGCATCTGTGTATAGTTTGAAGGCTTTCTATGTGGTACATACTCTTAAATTTCACGCTAATTTTTATGATAAATAATTGTGTCAATCTATCGCTCATGCAAAGTCATCAAATGGTGGTGTAACAAATTTTGGATTATTATGGTTTCTGACATTTCGTAATCCTTAAAGTGATACCTTAGGTACACAAGCCTGAAGAATGGCAGCAATCAATGTTCCAAAGTTGATTAGTACTTTTTGCTTTTGAAGTTATTAGATATTGTGGTACTTGATAATTTGGAATATATATTTTAAGGATCCTATTTTGAAGTGTAAAGGAAAAATGGGAATCTTTGTCGAATGTCCTCTTTACCGCATTGTGTAGTCTGTACTCTTTTGTGGTTACTTTCAGAGAGTTCACATCAGTCTATCTGCATTGCACACGAGATTCCAAGAGCCCTTAACTTTTTCATATATAACTGATACCTATATAACAACTCCAGTCATTGGAAGCACACGTTAAAAATAAATGTTAAGTCTATAACTGTTCTTGTTTGGCTCTGTCACAAACCGATTATCCCAAAAGCCATTAGGTGAAAGCTCATGAATATTTTTTTGTTACATCTTTAACATGCCCCTTCATGCAGGAGCTTTTTGGGCATGAAGCACATTTTCACTTACCTTATGCTGAAATTCAACTGTTATTTAGAATAATGAGAGCGACAAGGATCCAACTCCTGACCACTTGGTCAAGGAGGCTCTAATGCTATGTCAAGAATCAACTATCGCAAAAGCTTAAATTGTTAGGTGAATGCTCATGAATAATTTTGTGACATCACTTACAGGTTCTAGATATATTGAGGGAAAATGATGCAAAATTTAGATTACTTGACCTTTAAACTTGTAGAAACTAAAACTCATGCAGGCTTTCAGTGACTACTTGAGCTGGCTACGTAGATGCCTGAAGAAATAAAACAACATCATTACTTTTTACTTTTTACATGTGAAGGTTTATGTCTATACTTCTGTTTAACTTGGGCTTTAAAGATGTCTTTACTTTTCTGTTCATATCCATTGATATGAATTATTTCCTGTTTCTTGTCGTGCTAGATGGCTGTTTATTGGTTGTCATAAAAATATTCAGTCTTCTGTTCAACAATTTTTTCTTTTATCTTTGTTTTATTTGAACTTAAACTGGATGTTGGGTAACCAACTTTTCAAGACTCGGGATAATTAATCTAAAGCTTAAAAATATCATTTGCACAGGTGTTCTGGTAGTGCTGGATGTTCGTCCTGATGGAATCATATACCGAGATCTAATACCTGATTATGTTAATTTTGCAAGGACTATATATGAAGGTTTTGGTTTCCATTTCTTTTCTGTACTGCTGATTTGTGAATACCTACCAAACATGGACTCTAATACGAATACCGGACACAACACGGACTCTGAATAAATAAACACAAAAAAAGAAAAACCTCAAATGAATTGAATTATGAGTAACATGACAAAAGATCGACATGTAATATATTGTGAATTCTTGTATTCACCTTTTCCTTGTGATAATAGGCCTCACAAAAAGACTGAGAGGTATATTTTTATTATTATTATTATTATTATTATTATTATTTTAAATACATTTTTAAATAATAATAGTTTGTGTTCTTTTATATAGAAGTGTTGACTTAAGTTTTCGAATTATATGAGGTTATTGGCTCAGGTATTTGAGTTAATAAAAAATAATTTATAGAGAGCATTTAAAGAGTTTATGAAAAGTTTATAAAAATAGTTTTTGGACCCATAAGATGTTTTTTAGTTTCGTTTAATTATCTTCTAAGTATAACTTGTTTAAGCTTATTCTGAGAAGTTTTATGGTTAAACTTACAAGTCTTTAGTGTCAGATATTTAATAAAGAATGTGTAACCTGTTGACGAGGCATTAGTGTCAGATATTAAACACTTAAAACAAGAGGTGTTTGTATTTCTTAAGAGAATACCGATTCTAGTAAATGCTTGAAATTTTATTTCAGAAAGGATGACTTATTGTGTTTCTACTTTTCTTTTCCCACTTGTTGATTATCTTCAAGTTTGAGACTAGTCAATTTTTAGCTTGAAGTTTTATTTCAGAAAGGATGACTTATTGTGTTTCCACTTTTCTTTTCCCACTTGATGATCTTCAAGATTGAGACTAGTCATTTTTAGCTTGAAATTTTGTTTCAGAAAGATTGACTTGTGTTTTCACTTTTTACCCCGCACTTGTAGATGACCTTGGGGATGTTGCTGTTGATGTGAACTACTTGAATGTAGGATCTGAATCTCGAAATTATCAAATATTCATATGCTGATCCTGGTTTGGAGATAAACTGCCACCCTGATTCGCTTCACAACGAAACTAGCTTATATGAACGAGGATTGCCGAAGCTTATACAAATAATGTACAGGTCGATTGCAATTTGCAATGAAGATTGTATAACATATTTCCTCCAATTTGTCAAGGTCAATTGATATCAATGTCAAGTACTGTATATGCTCATGCAATTGCCCTCAAACTTTATGAAATTATGTGCCCTTAATATATCACAAATTTCCTAATGACCGGTGCGACTAATGCTACTTGAGTTCTAGCACCCCCTAATTGATTTTGCTGCAATCATGAATGATTTTTTTCCCCCCATTTCTGGTCAGCAAAAAATCTAAATTTAGAAATCCAGTCCATAACTTAACCCAACTTGATTTAAAAATCCAAATTTTTAATAAAACAAGAGGTCCAGTCCATGGAAAAAAAGGATCTTGATATATTTTTAATCTAATTTATCAAAATTATATTTGATATACAAAAATTGGTTTTCTCCCTTTTTTAAAAAAAATATCTGATTTAATGGATAAAAACGAAAATATAAAAGTAACTATTTTTACAAAATGACAAAACTTGAAACTAGTTCTCTAGATATTGTTTTCGCTCGTATTCTCTCTTTTATTTCATGACATAGACAAAACTTTGATTAAATTAATTTATGAGTTTTTTCATGTATTTCATAATTATTATTAAATATATAAACTCTAAACAACTAATTTTGTTAATTTAAATTTTAAGCATTAAATTTATTGTAATTTTTTTGTATTTTTATTCTATTTTTTAAAAATATTATTAATTTTAATATTTCTATTAGCTAAAATAAGAATCGATCTAATAGAAATCACTGCCACAATAAATAAGTAGTCTTTGTTTTAAATAACTTTTTAAAGTTGTGTTTGAGATTAAAAAAATAAATTAAATTTACTTTTTTTAAAATGTATTATTAATCAAAATTAAATTTATATTATTGATTTTTATTTTTATAAGTTTTAATTTAAATTTTTATCATTAACTTCATTTATTAAAACTAAATTAAAAACAATAATAAATATTTTATAAACTCTTATAAAATATAATATAATTAACAAATATTATTAAAATCTTATTAAAACGTATTAATTTAATGTAATGATGAGTACAATAAATTAGTTTTATCTTAAAAATGAAATTTACAAATATATTAAAAAATAGTATTGCCTTGAAAAATAAATTTAAAATTAGATTTAAAACTAATTTAACATAAAACTAAATTTAAAACTAGTTTTAACAAAAAAATTGAATTTTAAACTAAATTCAAAATTTAAAACTACTTTTAAATTGATTAAATAAAATAAAATAAAATAGTTTAAAATTTAATCCGTATAATTAATTTGTGTAGTAGATACATGATAAAAAGTAGAATATATGCAAATATTTATTAGTTTAATATAATATAAAAATAAGAAAAATTATATTATTAATAGATTAAACTATATACAAATATAATTTTATATTAATTATTATAAAATTTAAATATTTTTTAATATAATAATTTAATTATAATATAAAAATGTTTATAATATATTTTTATTAGATTTAAAACCAGTTTTAACCTGAATCTAAATTTTAAAATTAAATTTAAATCAATTTTAAAAAAATTAAAATAAATTAATTTAAAATTTAATTCATATAATTAAATTTTAAATAAATCTAAATTAATTTTCTGAAAATCCAATTCATGTTAACTATTAACAACAATTATAAAAGATTCAATTAGCCGAACTAGCTGGTTCATTAAAATTACATAGGAAAAAAAGATTATATGTTTTTTAAAGGACCATTTCAAGAGTTGGGAAAAAATATTAAAATTTATAATACATCTCAATGAAATTTGTAATGGAAAATGATAAATAATAATAACAATAATTACATAAAAAGAGTTAATCAAATATAATAATATATTATTTTTATTAGAATATTTTAAATTTTTATGTATAAAAATTCATTTAAATCTATTTTAAATCTAATTATATAGATTGAATTTTAGAATTTTTTTTAAAACTAGTTTAAAATTGATTTTAAAATTTAGATTTGGTTCAAAACTTATTTTAAATTATTTATAAATTTATATATTGAATAATTTTTTTAGAAAAACTAAAATAAATATTAATTAATTTTATAGATAAAATAATTTAAAAATGTGTTTGGATAATTGTATTTTAAAAATAATATAATTAGGAGAAAGAAATAAAGATAGAAAAGAAAAAAAATAGGCTAATTTATTAAAATATTAAAATTATATCTAATAGTAAAATTATTATTTTATTAAAAATAACTATAAAAAGAAATTTTTTATTAAATTAATTAATTATTATTATGAATATTTTAGTATAATTTATTTATTTAAATGAGTACTTTTTTAATATATTTTATTTATATTTATTTAAATAATATTTTTTTATTATATCTAGAACCAGTTATCTCCATGAAAAGTTTTAGATACTATAAAATTTTTAATAATTTTTAATTATCAAACAAATTAACAGATCGCTAAGCAATTTATTTATAAATTAAGATAAACGATTTAGAGAGTGAGAGATAGAACAATCCAAAAACGTATAAAACATAGTAGAATAAAATTGGATTTTCATAAATTAAATATAGTTTTGTTAAATAAAATTAAATACACATCTGAATAATAAAAAAAGTAGGGTATCTGGTTATTTTAAAAATCTGGATTTTTAAATAGCGTTTCTGATGGTTAAAGATTTGCTTTTTTTTACCCACCCCTACTCTCAGTTCTTTTCACCGATGCCTCGTCTTGATCGCGTTGATGTTTGGAAAAGCAACGCTCGATCCCTGCAGCTCCAGCTCCGGGACCGGTTCAGAGTCGCCGTTGACCGCCATTGGCGCCGCCGCAACCACCATACCTTCATCCCTTCCGCCGATGGCTACTTTTCCTCTACGATTCAGCGCTGGCTTAGCAGATTTCGCGATTTTCGGAGGGACTCCTTGCCTTCTTCTACCTCTTTCTATCGCAAACGAGGTACTCAATCAATTATCTCTCTCGTTGCTTTTACGTTATGATCTCTCTATGCCGTAAATCCACATATATTAATGCTCTTGAATGTTGTGATAAAATGAAATTAAAACATATCATAGGCATCCGCTAGGTCTTTCACTTTATGATTGTCGCGTATGTGTCTACAGTGACTAAGGATTTCAGTTCCGAAGAGGATTCAACTCTCTTTCGTATGATGCAAGCTGTTGCTGTTCCTGTTCTTGGAAATGTATGTCACGTTTTTATGAATGGATTGAACCGCGTTCAGGTATGAATGATATGCCGACTATATGGTTTAGATTATCTTCTCTTGCCTTTTGATATATTTTCTGACTCGTGTTTGTATGGAAGAACAGGTTTATGGTTTAGAAAAATTACACTCCGCGTTGTTGCACAGACCTAAAGGCAAGCCTCTTCTTACGGTACGTGCTCTTCCGAGCTATGCAAAAGGAATCTGTGTGGGGATGTAATTCTTTGACGGGGCTTGCTTTTGATTTTTTATTCAGGTTAGCAATCATGTTGCTTCCATTGATGATCCGCTTGTCATTGCTTCGCTGCTTCCTCCTCATGTTCTTTTGGATGCTAAAAATCTCAGATGGACGCTTTGTGCAACCGATAGGTGCTTTAAAAACCCTGTAACCTCTGCATTCTTTCGATCTGTCAAAGTCTTGCCAGTTTCTCGTGGTGATGGGATTTATCAGGAGGTATGGATCCAACATACAATAGCTAATGACATTTAACAATTTTGATCATTTAATTTGAGGCATTGGAGTTTATGATAATAGTCGATCTTTGCTGAAATTTGTGGCTTTTCGTGAATTTTTCTCAGTTCTTTGTTTTTATTTGTCTGCCATGACTTGAATTATTCAATTTATATTCTTGTTGTGTCCTGAAAACGATTTTCTAAGTCCTTCATGTCCCCTGTTCTGAAGGTGTTTGTTTTTGGAGTTTTAAAAAAGGAGTGTATCTGTCTCTATCAATTTTTAATTGGTTTTTTCTTACCTTCCATTTGTCTCTTGCTTCCCCTGCCCTCTCTAAAATGGAATATCTGATGATTTTAATTTCAACTACTTCCTTTGCCCTGCTGTAGGGAATGGACATGGCCCTATCGAAATTGAACCATGGTGGTTGGGTCCACATATTCCCAGAAGGTAGTCGTTCCAGGGATGGAGGCAAAACCATGGGCTCTTCCAAGAGAGGCGTTGGCAGGTAACAACTTTCAAAGTATTTTCAAGTAGAATACTAACTCAAGGTTTTACTTTTCTTGTCATATAAACCTGTTCTTAAATGTTTCCATATTTCCTTGAAAAATTATTTTCTGATTCTTTAGGGTATTATAATTAGAATCATGAAAGAAATAGTTTTCTCTATAGAAAGCTGTTCCATCAGTAAGGCCAACATGGCAAAATTTCACAGTTTTTCCTAAGTTCTAACCTGAGTATTATTCAATTATATATTTCACAGTTATTCTTCACTTATGAATTATAAATTATTCAATTAATCCCTAGGGTCTCATTTTCTTTTCCTTCTTTGTTTCTTCAATATCATCCTTTTTTTGGCTTCAGTTTGATTGAAATTTAGATGATAGAATTCCTGAAATTCATAATTTATTTACCTATTGGTTCTTTAATTGTTTTACCTTTAATCCAAATTGGAACAACTTCTGTTGTCTCTACACTGGTAAATTCTGAAAATGAAGTAGTTTACTATTATCATTACTTGCAAAAAAAGTGTTATTTGCTTAATGGCATTAGTCTTAGGTAGTGTTTGGATGCTGTCCTTGGACACTAGAGATAGAAACGCAAAGACAACGAAGGACAGAGACACAGAGGGTAGTGTTTGTGTATTGTGTTTGGATTTGAGTACAAAACATTGTGTGTTGTGTCTTATGTTATATTTGGTTCTACGAAAATACCAAATTGTTTGAAATGTCTTAAATATCCCGTGATTATTTTAAAAAAAAAACACTAATCCATCCTTATGCCTCACACGGTAATTATATATAACAATTATATATTTTACACTACATTATATAACAATTAAATTTTATAAACACTAATTATATATACAACAACATAATTATATAATTTACATAACATCATATAACAATTAAATTATAGAAATGCTAATTATATATTTTATATTACAGCATATAACAATTAAATTATAAAAATGTTAATTATATATTTTACATTACAACATATAACAATTAAATTATATAAACAGTAATTATATATTTTACATTACAGTATATAACAGCTAAATTTTATAAACACTAATATATTTTACATTATAACATATAACAATTAAATTTTACAAACACTAATTATATATACAGCAATGCTAATTATATATCTTACATTATAACATATAACAATTAAATTTTATAAACGCTAATTATATATACAGCAATGCTAATTATATAATTTACATAACAGCATATTAACAATTAAATTATAGAAATGCTAATTATATATTTTACATTACAACATATAATAATTAAATTTTATAAACACTAATTATATATTTTACATTACAATATATAACAATTAAATTTTACAAACAATAATTATATATATAGCAATGCTAATTATATATCTTACATTACAACATATAACAATTAAATTTTATAAACACTAATTATATATACAGCAATGCTAATTATATATCTTACATTACAACATATAATAATTAAATTTTATAAACACTAATTATATATACAGCAACGCTAATTATATAATTTACATTACAACATATAACAATTAAATTATGTAAATAGTAGTTATATATTTTACATTACAGCATATAACAATTAAATTTTATAAACACTAATTATATATTTTACATTACAACATATAACAATTAGGAAATGGTTTTGCGGGTTTCTGGAATAATCTGAAAACTTTTATAAGATAGAGAAATTGAGACGTACGTTGGTAATGAAGGAGAAAGGAACATTACCTTGATGCACAATGACGGACATACCTCGAAGAATGCTGCCTTGGCTGCGCTAGAAACAGAAGCTGCAATGGATGGTGTGAGGTAGAATGAGAATATAACTTAGGGTTAAAGGTAGAAGTTGTCATCTTTAATAAAATATGAGGGCATTTTTGTCACACAAAAATTAGAGACACTAGTGTCTCTTCTTCTACGAAGTACACTAGTGTCCTTCGTTTTTTCTCTGTGTCTTTGTCTCTCAACCAAACAGCAGAATTTTTATGAATTTGATCCTTTTCAAATTTTAGGTATGGAATTGATAATAATATGTAAATTTTGTTAATTTTCTCCTTTAAAATTTCAATATTGGTTTCCAGACTCAGATTTATTGAGAAAGCATGATCGGTTAAATTTGAATACATTTTATCATTAAAATTATGAGTCCTGTTCATATATAACATGAATTTTAAGGATATGCTTATATGGTTTGATATCATATATCTGTCTGTTTTTATAGTACGTTTCAGTCAATATATTGGATTAGATAAGATGTTACTTATTTTCGTATGTGTGTGTTTTGTTGGGATAATGTTATGGTAATTTACCACATATTTATGCCTTATTACATCTGAAACTCTTGTTTCTGTTTCACCCCCAGCCATTTCTTTTACGTTTAGTAACCTGGTTCAGAAGTATGGGGTATTTCATCCATTATCTTTTACTTCTCTATATTTCTATTATTTCACAATTTGTTAAGAGAGAAACATTTTTCCTGATATAAATTTCTGCATCAGGTTGGTTCTGGATGGAGATAGCATGCCCCTTGTTGTCCCATTTGTACATACAGGGATGCAAGAGATTATGCCAATAGGTGCTAACTTTCCCAGAATAGGCAAGACGGTACTGTTCTTGATCTGTTTCCAAAAATATCAATGACATGGAGAATTAATGAAATTAGTCCAGTTTTATTCAATCTATGCTCCTTCAAAGGTTTTAATTGTATTGGATGGTGTTAGACATAGACTGCTAGCTTTAGTGGAAATACTGCACTCAATGCTCCTTGAATTTGGATCTCTCTTTTTTTCTTACTCAAAAGATCAAGATGTTTCAATTACATAGTAAAGATTCTGTATTGCATGGCATGTCTTTTATTGATGTGATTAATTTTAATTATTTGTAATTTTCAGTTTAAATTATCTTACACTGATTGGTTTGACCTGCTTGGGTTTCTAGGTAACAGTGCTCATAGGCGATCCAATCAATTTTGATGATATACTCAACATGGAAAAGGGCCCGGATGTGCCAAGAAGAAGACTATATGATGCAGTAGCATCGAGAATTGGTGATCGGTTACATGAATTGAAGGTCCAAGTTGACACCATAGCAATTGAACAAGAAATGCAGCTACAAGATCACTCCTCACAGAGCATGGAACGAACATCTGGTATCTTGCAGCAGGTTGATTGGGAATTGTTTGGAATGGATAGTCTTATGTCTGTAGATGATGATCCCAAGCAGAGACATGAAGCGGTTGCCCTCGCAAATACATGCGTTTCTCAACATCAGCAGTCTCATAGTGATCAAAGTTGGAGAATGAGTTTCTCATACAGGATGCGTGGTTATATAAATCAGATGGAACTCAAATCTTTTGCGGCGAGAGGCTTACTTACGAATAATGAAACTAAGAACTCTGTTGGCTGTAGTAGACAGATAGGTCCCTTGAGGGCATGGAAACAGTTTTTGGAAGCTAATCTATTACGGCAGTGGAATTACGTCCATTGCTGAAAGCATAGCTTTGGATGGTGTAAATTCAAATCTTTGCTGCTTGATTAAAATAATTGAGTTTTTGTTAGACCAATGGATAAAATTCGTAACTCAAAACTCAATTAGCTACTGTACCAGTTAGTGGCAGGGTGTAATTATTTAGTGGCACTCGGTTATTTTTCCTTTCATATAGTTAAAAAAAAATATTAACTTAAAGAATTAATAAATAGCTTCTTTTCTCGAAAACTGCGTTGGAGTGGGTATATTAAAAATTATGGAAAGTGTATTAATAGAATTTTTCACTTAATTTCAGTTTTGTATTGTTTGAAAAGCACTTAGGATGCCGTTTAGTAATTATTTATTCTTATATCAAGAAATTTTGTATCTATATTTAGATTGCTCATTTTACGAAAGAGATTTTTCCATTTAGCAACCAAAATGTTGTGTTTTGAAGAAGTTTCTACTTTTGTGTAAATTTTGTACGTCTGGCGTAAGCTATAAAAATACTGTTATTATAATGAATTGATGGATTAAACAAAGTAAGCTATAAAAATAATTGCCAACATTATATAAAGCCTATTCACCCGTTGATCAATAAAATTGTCTTTCTAGTAGTGAATGGTGGAAGTGAAGATTTTGGAGCACGAATATTATTAAGTGTTGGATTTTCTTTTGCCTCTTGAAGCAAATTATTGAACAGTTAAATATATCATCGATGATGTTGAGCGTGATTGTCGACCAAAATCATTTGAGCTGATACCGGGCGCCATGGGCTGTACTGTACTTTACAGATCAGACGCTAACGCCACACACTACCCAACGATGTATTAAGTATGATTATTAAACGAGGTTGGGCCCATTATGTTTCGATTATGGAGCCCACAGGGTGGACGGGCCTGGTTGGCGAGGAAGCATTCTCTTCACTATCTATCATTCAGAAGAGGCGAGACAAGATCTTCTTCATTCTTCTATTCTTCTTCACTGCAATTTGCAATTTAAAACCGCGTCTTCTCCTCTGGACAGAGATATGGCAGAAGAAGAAGAAGAATCAGAGCTTAGCGATAAGCAGAAAGTAGAAATCGCGAAATGGTTCCTCCTCAACTCTCCCCCTGGAGAAATCCAATACGTTGCCAAAGGTTCTTCTTCCTCCGCATTTGCTTCTTCCCCTTTGTGATTCGCTCTCTGATCTACAATTCAATCCCCCAATCGTTTCTGCAGACGTCAAATCCATTCTCAACAACGACGATTTGTACAATGAGGCGGCTTCCGAGGCATTTCCCGTTTACAACAAATCCCATTTGATTTCCCTTCAAATGCCCAACCGAAGCGGAGACGTAACTATCTCTCGCCAAACACCCTCACTACTCATTTCCTAGGGTTTCTTTCGTCGATTTTTAATTTCGAATTCATTGGATCGATTTTGGTTATGCTTTTATTGTGATGTATACTATGCTAAATCAATTTCTTCTGGTAGATACCTGACTTAACACGTGCATGCAGGTACTGGTTACTTCGTTTGGTGAGCTTGAGGGGAATGCATTTCTTGATCCTAGAACTACCCAAGTGGCAGTAGTTGATCATGTCAAACAAGTTAGTCCTCTCTCTTTCTCTCTGAGTCTTGTGGATCGGCCAAATACCGAGACAATTTCTTAAATACTGTTTCAGAAACTAATTTTTTATTTTTACTGTTTTAGTGTTCATGGTTCTGCTTAGCTTTTGGTTGTTTCTTAAGGAATGGGATAAAGTAACTAGACCTTCTATCGTACTCACTGCTTTTATTTTTCTTTAACTCTTCTAATTTGTGTAAACATGGAGCAAGTTAAAAATTATATTGATTGTAATCTGTGATTCGAGCATTGAGTTCAGTTTTAGTATTGATGTGGCGTAACTTCCTGCTTATAACTTGCTTGTTGGAACTTGCGTTTTCTGTGAATATATCAAGATTACATGGAAACTTCATTGGCGGGGAATAAAGCAAATCATGAAAATTTTGTTATTGCAATCGTGACTTCTTTTGATAAATAGGATGGTGTGTCTAGCTAAGTTGTATCGCCTGTTGTCTTATTGTAGTGTGACAAATGTCTCAGGTTTGTACAGAGGTGAGACCTGCACTGGATGAAGAACTTCCATCTCCATACATTGAAGAATTTCGGTAATGTTCTGCAATTGTCATGATTAAGATGTTGTGTGTCTGATTACCGATGTTCCTTTACTAAAGTGAGCTTCACAATGTATTCAGGGGATGCTGTTTCATGTTACATTTCAATGAATTTATTAATTTAAAAAAAAAAAAAAAAACTCTGTTGTTACAGTAATTTATTATTCCTCAATTTTTAACAGTGTGAACTCAGCGAGTGTTAATTGTTTTCTGTAGATCAATCAACTGAAGGAGGTTTATTCTTCAATTTTAAATCACAATCCTTTTAATTGTTAGCTCTAGATTTGTGGTTTCCGTGCAACTGTTTTATTGAGAATATGTAACGTATTCTAGTTTGGAAGCAGAGCAGACTCGCACGAGTGATTTTTAATATCTGGCTATCTACTTTTCTTTTTAAATAAAATTCTATATTCGTTAGCATTTCAGGATCAGAACATGAAATAGAGATTCACCTCTTCAATTAAGTAACTTGAGTACCACACTTCCATATCTTTCTCCTACTAAACAATATAGCTTGCATAACACAATATTTGTTTACTGCAGATGCAGTCTGGACGCTGAAATTCTTAAATATGTTGAAGAAGCCTATCCAAAAGGTGTCTGTTCTGTCTACTGCATAAATGGGAAGGATGTAGAGGGTCCGGGTTCTAATTTTGAGCTTGCTGTGGTGATTTCTGCTGCTAGGCATAGCCCACAAAATTTCTGGTGTGTGAAATTAATTGACTGAAATTCCAACTGTCTTTTTTTATGACTAATTTTTACTTGTTACAAAATAGGGAATCGGTGCATTAATAATGTCAATATATTTAAATTTTCCTTTGGTTTTTGTTCATAGCAATGGGAGTTGGTGTTCAATATGGAATATTCAGTTCAAAGACGATCAACAAACAGTGGAAGTAAAGGGTAAAATGCAGGTAATATTATGTTACATATATTTGATGCATTGATTGAAATATTGAATGATGCAAGGCAAACCTTTATGATGATTATTTTTATCCCATTTTCAGGTGGGTGCTCATTATTTTGAGGAAGGAAATGTGCAGTTAGATGCAAAACATGAATGCAAAGATGCAACTCTTTTTCAGGTGCCACATATCAGCATTACTTTGATTTGTTCTTTTTATTTGCGGCGAATGTATTGTTTAAGTTATTTTTACATGTCCTTCCATATTTTTTTGGCAATCTAATGTATTTGTATCCTGCAAACCTGAGAATAGTTTAGGAACATGTCAATGATATTAAAATGATAAGATTGAGATACAAATAGAAGATTTACAAAAATACAATAGTTATCTATTTTATTTCTGTCAAATTTTATCTATTTGTATTTTATCATTTTATTTTATTTCAGGCTCCTGATGATTGTGCGCTTGCCTTGTCAAGCATTATTCGTCACCATGAAACAGAGTACCTTGCATCTCTTGAGGTTCTGAATTTGTCTTCTTGTACTAGGGTCTTTCATTCTTTTTATTTTAATAATGTGCACTTGATTTACTAACGACCATAACTTGGCAGGCTTCATATCTAAACCTTCCTGATTCTACCTTCAAGGTACCCCTTATTATATCGTCACAGTTTTTTTTCTTTTCTTTAGTTTAGATGTGGCATTTCTGTTAATTCTATTGTAATTATTGATTCCCATTAAAGCAATAAAATATACCTAAACCTTCTCTCGTTATGCATCTTTGTCTTAACCAAGACCAAACACCTCTATGATGCGTTTCTTTGATCCTTTTACTAACTGGATGAATTCATTTTATCGGTCTCTCGTGTTAAGTGACACCTATGATCAGGCATGAAATTGCTAACGATTGCAACCGTGTAGTCAATTAAAAACATATATTATGGATGTCTAATTTATATAATTTTAAAGATTTTGTCTTAAATCACTCCTAGAGTGTACAAGCATTAGAGGTAATAAAAGGGGCTAGCTATGTCTCACTTTTCTTAATAAATCTATAACATTATCTGTTGAATTTGAAGCCTTTTGATTTCTATTATTTGCAGGATCTTCGGAGGAAGCTTCCAGTCACCCGCACCTTATTTCCATGGCATAACACTTTGCAATTCAGCTTGACAAGAGATATCTCCAAAGAACTCGGCATTGGAAAGTAAATAATATACTCACGCACACAACATATAAAAGTTGTGTTTACTCGAGCTCGGTGATGACAAGTTCTTCGCATATGCGCCATTTGTAGCTTGATCAAGTCAATCATTCTTCGGGTTGACTTTCTTTATCTTCACTAATTTGCTTCATGAAGCACCCTCCTTTGTCTGAGTATCTTCCACCCGTGTACTTTACTGTAATTCTTTTTTGACATTATTTGTATAGCAGAAAAGAGTAACTCTTGTTTCTAGCCATTATTCCTAAAGTTTCGTGACTGCAAATAGAAATATTGCAAGAAGCTGGATTCATATTCATGCAATATGGGGTCGGTATCTTGAAGGGAAAATGTCGAGCTGATTTCATATTCACAAATCACTATCACGAGGGGTGGTGTTGTGGTGCACCCTGTCGTTGCAATATTCTTTGGTTCTTCCAGAAGTGTAGAATGTTTGATATGGGATAAAGGAGTGGCTCTAGGAGTAGGAAAACTTTTTTAAAAAATTGCTAATAACAGTTTTTAATAATTTTTTATCATGCTTTTAGTTATTAATTAAAATTATTAAAAATCACAAAAAATGAGTTTCACTTGTAATTTATGATTTTAGTTATTTTTTGTCATGCTTTTAGCTCTTAATTTAATGATTATCTTTTATACTTTTAATTTTTTTTTGATAAAATTTAACTAATAGTTAGAAATGTGTTAAGAAATGTGTTTTTACTTCAAATGTCTAATGAGATTTATTGCTTAACTTGTATCGAAGTTGATTTGATTTATTTACTTTAAATTAAAATATTTATATTTTATATTATTATATTATTAAGATATTTTGAAACTTTTTCTTAATCTGTTAAAAAAGGTTTATATATTTATCGGTCTTTAGAGCTAAGCCTAATAACACATTTAAAAGTTTTATTACAGAATAAGCTTTCAAGTGAAGATAATTTTTTAATAAGCTATACATTAAAAAAAGTTTGTTTTGTATAAATAATGTGTATTTAGACCTTAAATTAGAATAACAAAAAATATTTAGGCTGGTTCGATTATTTGAGTTAAATTAGAATAACAAAAAAACTGCAACCTGACTATTAGTGGTTAGGAATCTGATCACGCGCTCTCAAATTTGATGAACCCAACGTGGCTTAAACAACTTAATCGTTTTTTTAATTAAATATATGAATACAGGTATACTATGAATTTTCATAGTTTAAATGCTATTTTAATTTCATAAATGTTATCTTAAAAAATTATACACACAGATGAAGACCTCACCTAAGTTTAAATAGATTGATTCAAATTATTTTAATCAAATTTTGACATATTCGATTCAACCAAACCTGTTTAAGTTTAATTGATTTGAAATTCATTGAGTCAAATTCGATTTCAGTCCACCTACATTAAAATGGAAGTTAAAGTTCTTGATTTGTGAAAAAAAATTTTTACAAATCATGATTTGTGAAAAAAAAATTTTACAAATCATGATTTGTGCCATTGATAAATTGGCACAATGACCAATGAAATATGAAATATTGTTGTAACTCGTATTTTACGTGATTATTAAAATCAGATTAATTGGCTCAAAGACTAATTATAACAGGAAAATGTGAAATTGCATTGTGGACCTTAATATAACACACTCGAACAAAAACACAGATGAAGCGGTAGGGCTCACAGTTTGGCGACATTCTGCCTCCAATCCCTTTCCCTTCTCTTCTATTTGGCAGAGCTTAACACGCTCTCTTCTATTCACCATTCTTCGCTTGTTTTTACTCTTTCCATTCCATTCTTCTCTTTTTCAATATTCCCTTCTCCCACTTTAATTTTCTCAACTGTTTTCCCTTCTCACAAATTACTACGCTTTTCACCATTTTATAAAGCGCAAATACCTGAGTCATTGTTATTCTTACTTGGTATTTACAAAACATTCGTTGTTTACCTGCATGTCAGTTCACTTATTCTCATATCCATGTTGGTATCTCACTCAGTTCACTTTTCTAGGTTTTGTTTCAGATGAAGATTAGATCTGTTCCGACATAGTATCAGGTATCTTACATTAAAGCTTCAATTAGAACTAGTAATGTTGTGAGAATCCAGGGCTATTTCATTGTTTTGTCTCTTTTCATATTTTCTTTGAAGCTCGCCTTGCCTGCAATAGACTTTGTTCCTTTTGCGAAGATTAAAAATCAAAATGAATGGTGAATGATAATTAATTTCATTTGTCTAATTAGCTGTAACCATTTAGTAATTAAATCCATGGCTCCCTTTCCTCTCTGGCTCTGGAATGATGTGACTTAGCCAAATCAGACATTCATGTGCTCCATGAGACACCAAACATTATCTTTAAAGCTTGCTCTCATTGCAAAACTTAAGCGTGTGGGTGGGCTTTGTTCGATGTTGGTGACCCTCATGTTGAAGCGCATTTCTCTGACGATTAACAAAGAGAATGGTTGTTTCCTGACCAGAACCACAACACTTAGTTTCGCCTGAGAAGGAAGTAGCCAATTAGGACTATGAGATGAGTTTCTCTTAGTCTTGTGTGACTGTGTCTTTTTTTTTTTTGGTTTTTGTTGGGTAACCTCTCTGGTTGCTTGCAAGTGCAACAGATTAGTATAAGACTTGTCAATTTTTCTTCTTCTGGTTTCGTTATTAGTAGTGATCCTATCAGTTCAATGCCATTAGAAGTTATCAATTTTGTTGCTGCATTATCACACCAAACAATATTTATTTCTGAAGTATACAAATGGAAAACCAAGCTGCTGTAGCTTAATCTTAGTATTGTGCTTAATCCTAACCAAAACTATCATATGTTAATGTTATTTAGGCTATTATTTTGGCTCTGGGATCTACAATCAAATCATTTTGTCATCAGAGAATGAGAGAAACATTAATTTAGGAATGAGAAAGAGTGAGACCTACATGATTTTTGTAGTTTTCAATAAATTTTAGTCAATAGTAGGAGGTGTGTTACAAAGAGAATGTTGTTAGCATTACTCGTAAAAAAAAAACGAGGTTTTGGACTTGGAATAGGAATTTAAGGAGGGAGAGAATTGGATCTCTTGAATACCTGGGAATTAGAGAGTGAGAGTTCCATTCTATTATTCTTGGCCTCTGGTTCTGTATCAGATTGATACTGATCAGTGATCATGATTTGGGACAGTTTCTGCAATAAAATCTCTTTGTTCATCCTATTTCTAGTTCCTCTAGACTCTTGCAGTAAAGATCTGCCACTTGCATATCAATAGTGTTGTTTATGCTTTGGGGATCTTATCTCAGCTTACAAGTCAGCACTTCTACCAACTGTAGAAAGTTTAATTCTAGTTTGGATGTTCTATCCCTGCTTTTTTAAGTGTGTTTCAGTTATGTTTTTTTATCCTTTGAAATGCACCAAGTTATCTAGTGACATGTGGCATAGTTCATGAAGAGTCTTTTGCAACATTAACCTAATTGGAAATGATTCAATATGTACTAAAATGCAAAATCTGCTGCAGGTTTTAGTTGAAGGTTTGGGTGTTGTCTTCATTATCAATCTGTCACACTTACACGTGAAATATGCTTATTCTGCTTGCCATTCTCTACATCATAGTGAATGGCCCGATCTTTTGTTTTGGGAATGTGTGAGTGTATAAAAAGCCTCAGTTATGAATTCATCTTAATAGGTTGAACTTTACCAATTAGAAGTCTCCTTGTTATTAACTTGGTTATAGTGATCAACTGCTCACTGTTACAGTGTTGAGGACAAAATTTTGAAGGTTGGAGAAGAGCTTTGGAGAGAGACTTTACCATTACAAGGTGGCTCTCGCTTTTATCAATTACAAGGTCTGAAACCCCACATGTGGTATGAAGTGAAGATATCATATCCAGCTTCTGTATGTATATTATGTCTCCTTTCAGTTCTTTGCAGGGGATCTTTCCTCTGGAAACTGACATACACTAAATAAAATACCAGATACCTGCTAGATTTTCCATAGAACTGAAGAGAAACAAGTTCGATATGATGCTGAACAATAACAGGAGATTGCTTAACACTGAAAAGCTCATTTTTAAGACCGATAGCAATCAGGTCCAACATTATTATGACTCCTTTTAGTCAAAATTCTGAAAAGTCTATGTGCTTGATTCTGTTATGTCTTGTTTTTACAACATTGACTTAATTCAGGATGAATCCAATTTATTATTAGTAACTGTGGAGGCTGAGGGGTTTCCAGCAAAACGGCATGTACCGGAGAGGGAGTTTATTATCTTTAATATAGGTAACTTTTTGCATAGTATATTAAAAAAATTTGTATAAGTAATGTTACATCCTATGCATTACTAGTTCCTGTAGCACTATAATTTCCTTTGTTGCTAATGTTCTATATTCTTTCTTCTTTTGTTGATACGACAGTATGTGATGAATTATTATTAGGCATACCCCACAAAGCTTGGTGGGTTGTGGCACTGGGATTACTCTGTCTCGGAATTGGATTAATCGTTCCTTCTTTTCTTCCCTTGTATTTGCTACCGAAGAATCAAGTTTCAAGATCAGATGATCGTGTTTCGAAAGTTTCTTGACAAGCTTTCAAGGAAGATAAAGTGGTTGTAGAATTGTTTATTTCATTTCAAATGCTGTGAAGCACACCTGCGTGTCGCTACTAATTTTTTGAGTGTTCTAAATGCTGCTCTACCAGCCAATGATGTTTGTGACGGCTTCATCTTTTCTTACTTCGCTTGACTAATCCTTAATAAGTACAGTTTGTTAATTTTTACTCCAATTTTTTTTTTTAAATTATATATATAGTAAACACATCGTTCTATCCATTGAGAAAGATATTCTATACTGACAACTTCATGTTAACTTTATTATGATGATCAATTAAAAGCTTCAACTTCAATACAAAAAGATTCACACACACACTATTAGTAATGACACTCTGATAAGAACCTTGGGAGAAAACCACCACAAAAGCTCCCTTATCAATTTGAGTTTTCTTTCACAAAAATGTCCCGCATTTATATAATCATAGGGAAGTGTTTGTTGAAAATACTCCCTTTCCTTCTGTGTTCAGGACATCTTTAATTAAATTATATAAACTAATTAAAGAAGTTAAATTAATTAATTTTTATAAATTTTGAAATTTTTTCATAATATGATAATTTTACCTTTATTTAACATATGACTTCATTCATGACTTTGCAAAGAAATTATTTTAATATATGGCTTTATAAAATAATATTTATTTTACTTTATTTTTATACAAAATAAAAACAATCAACTCTTATAATTTTAAGAATCAAAAGTATTTACTCGTTAAATAATTAAGAGAAATTAGTTAGATATAAAACTTTTAATATTGAAATTTATTGAATGGTTCACTTAAATTGAATCGCATCAAATAAAATGAATCAATATGGTAAAACTATTTTAATGTTTTTAATCATCCACAATATTTAGAATTGAATTTTTATTCAAAATATTTTTTTTACTTAAACTAATGACTGTAGGTAAAGAAGATTAGTTCAATTGTTTAAATATATTTTTTAAAAATAAAAACTATAGGTATTAAAAATATGTTTTAGGAAATTTAGACCTTTTTAATAGTAAAATATATATTAATTTAATTAACATGAAGGCTTTATGCCTGATAAAAATGAAAAAAAAAACTTGGTTATGTGAGAAAGATAATACATTTGAGAGTAATTTTATTTTTAAGATTGAAAAGTTATTTTTTATTTAAAAGTAAACATTTTGAATTTCTTTTAAGGTAATTAATTTTACCTTTCATCTATTATCAATGTAAAACTTTTAAAATACTCACATTAGTTAATAAATTTAACAAACATGCGTCATTAAATTTATTTAACAATATATACTAATATGATTAAATAAAATGAACAGTACCAAAAAAAGTATTGCGACGAAATACTAGATTCTAATAATTAATGTGTCTGATTGATGTGAAACCTGAAATAACGTCTGCAATTATCACAATTTTACATGTTATTAGCAGTGAGCATTTGGATAAGATTCCGGCGCCGTGAATGCAAGTATGATCAACAATTAAAATCAAAGTAGGCCACTGATTTATTGATAATGATGTTCCAAGAAACAGGAATCGAACCATTATTCTATTTTGTGAAAAGATACGAATAATATCATCATATATTATATATTAATTAAGAACAGGTTGTCGTGCACAACTCAGTTGGAGTGACACTGGATCTTCTGAACTAAACAACTCATATATATTCTTACCATTATTCTCTCTCCCCTGGAAGTTCAGAGTTTGGGAAGCATGGCTGAAAATGAAATCAAAGGAGACCACAGCCTCTATGTTTCGGAAGCGCTTCCTCTTTCCGACAAAAGGCTGCCTAAACCAAAGCGCGTTGCGTCTCTTGACATCTTTCGAGGTCTCACTGTTGCGGTATCTCTCTCTCTTGTTGACTCCACACTTTTGTTGTTCTGCAAAAGAAACATTCTTATGAAGAATATTTCTGTTGGTTGAAACATTAAAATGTTATAATACAAAAGTTGAGTACATACTTTAAATCAGTACTCATATCTGGTCTTATCACGTCTATTTTTACTTATATTTGTAATTAAAAAAAAACTTTTATATAAATAGAGACAGGAATGCTATAATAATTATATAAATGATATCATTTTATCATGTTTAAAATGACTCATGTTAAAATTAAAATCTCTTTTGTTATAAGATTAGTGTTTTTATATTATTTTTTGCAATTTGTCGTATTTCTGTGTCGTGTTGTACTGTATCCCTGTTGTGTGTCGTATGTATCCATGCTTCCTAGAGGGCTAAAGTATTCGGCCAAAAAGTAATACTGTGAAAGATAAACTATTAACCTGAATGTACGTGTCTGATTAGATTTGTATCAAAACATGTAACAATGATTATGTAAACCGTTGTTTTCCTTTAGTTTGCAGTTGTAAAGATATCACTTTGAAACCATCAAGGCACCAACAAAAAACTTAGCATTTTAATTTTATTTTGTTTGGACTTGTAAATATTATTTTTGATTTTACTGTAACATGTTCCGATAATATACTATGCAGTTAATGATCTTCGTTGATGATGCTGGAGGGGAATGGCCAATGATTGGTCATGCTCCATGGAATGGCTGCAATCTTGCTGATTTTGTTATGCCTTTCTTTTTGTTCATTGTGGGGATGGCCATTCCGCTTGCTCTGAAGGTTGGTTGTGAATGAGAAAATAGGGTGGTTAAGAATGATTATAGTATTAGTTTCTCTGTTTCTTTATTTCTTCTTATTTGGTTTAAGCTGGTCCTCTATTTTTTGATTCTATTTTATGTCCAGAGGATACCAAATAAACTTGTAGCAGTGAAAAAGGTGCTAGTGAGAACCCTCAAACTCCTCTTCTGGGGTTTGCTCTTGCAAGGTTAGTTTTTCTCCCATGAATTGAGGTAATCAAGTAAACAATATTCCATCTTTAAAGTGTTATAGATGATCATTTTTTGTTAGCCTTGGAAGAGGACTTGAGTTCCGAGTTCCCAACAGAACCCCTATTTTAGTGTGGATGAGGAAAATGAACTACTAATTAATTATAATACAAGCGTCACTAATTGTTACTCTCTTTTGATCATTAATATTGGTCTTGTGAAAGGTATTTTGCTGAAATGTGCTATAATAATTGAACCTGAATTTCATATTAGCGAATCTCCTGCTAGTGATAAATAAGCATCTTTGTGGTGTGAAAGACTGTACATCATTATGCCTTATTTTAATGTGATGGATGATGATCTCAATGATGAAGGTGGTTTCTCACATGCTCCGGACAATCTAACATATGGAGTTGACATGAAACACATAAGGTGGTGTGGCATTCTTCAGGTGATTTTGATCCTTTTTCCAACTTATTTTGATAAAGAAGATTTTAGCAAATACGAATGGGTAAATAAAGGCTAACACTCGTGTTGTCCCCCCTTCAAGAGAATTGCTCTAGCATATTTGGTTGTATCACTGGTAGAGATATTTTCAAAAAGGGCACAAGCTAGAGATCTGGAACCCACCCAACTCTCAATATTCAAGTTGTACTTTTGGCATTGGTTAGTCTCTGATACTCTGGTTCTGGTTGATTGCCAACACAATATGCTTTTGAACATTTTGTCTACTAAAATTTCAGGGTGGTGGGGGCATGTATACTTACTCTGTACATGGCTGTACTTTATGGAATTTATGTTCCAGACTGGCAATTCACTGTCCATAACCCGGATAGCATGTATAATGGCACAACTTTCACGGTAAGCTTTTGGTTACCACCTGCCTTTGATATCTCTCTACTCACACTAACACAATTTGGTTGCCTGTCTTTAACACCTAACTATCTAACATGGATTTTGCTTGATTTGAAATTTTTTCCCTTGTTCATGGATGCCATCACGTCGAGATGTCTTGAATTTGTTTATGATTTTTTTTTTCCGTTGTCTCTTGAAATTTAACTATTATTGTTTTAATGGGTTGTAACAGAGAATTAGTGATTATTATATTAAATTATAAGTGATTATATACGTGAACTTTACAAAACTGAAAAAAATACTTTTCTCTAACACAAAAATATAGTATTTTGTATTCACAAATTACAATTTCTATCATAACACATCACTTTGAAAATTTTCTTCCAGTTAGCTTTAGCAAATTTAAATATTTATTATTATTTCTCTTTTTTCTAATCTTTATAATTTGTTTTTCTTTGACAATTGAAGGTAACCTGTGGTGTCAGAGGGAAACTTGATCCCCCTTGTAATGCTGTGGGATATATTGACAGAGGTGTGCTTGGAATTAATCACATGTACAAGCGTCCAGCATGGAGGAGATCTGAAGTGTGTTGCTATATCCTCCCGGATACTTTTTTGTACAATAAATTTGAAACACTCGACGGCTATTGGAAATTTCAAACACTAATTGCCTTTTTAAGTTTTGCAGGCTTGCACTGAGAAATCACCATATGAAGGGCCTTTTAAAAAAAATGCTCCTTCATGGTGTTACGCTCCTTTTGAGCCAGAAGGAATTTTAAGGTCTGTATGTGGTCTTTAAATCCCCTTGCTGTCTGTTGGTTTAGCAGAAATCTCAAACATGCAATTAACAAATTTCTGTTAGTGCTCTAAAATTCTTCTGCATTGGTTTTGTTTGCTTGGAAGTAGATGCTATCATCATATATGATCAAATCATTGACAACTTGTTATAGCATGCCATAGACTCTGCTACTCTTTTTTATTTTTTAAGTCACTTTTTAAAATATTTTAGTACACACTTTATAATTTTTATGAATTATTTATTATTATTTTTTAATTGTATTTAATAAATAGAGTCGGTAGGAACTTAAGTTCAAATCAATAAAAATAAATATTGATAGTGTAAATAAGTTGAATAATATTAAATTAGGATAAAATTGACATGTAGTAGTTTGTTAAAAAAATCAACAGAGTTTTTTTTTTTTTCACACAATTTTGAAATGCTTAGACCCTTTTGAGGGCTGTACTGTGATTGTTGGGCACAATAGATGTATGTATAACCTTTCTGCGGATCCTAAGAGATTGCAATGTCACATGCAAATGCAGCTCAATATCTGCTATTCTCTCCACAATCATTGGATTGCATTTTGGACATGTACTCATACACTTGAAGGTGAATCCTGAGACTCAAAACTAATCAGTGCTTGACATTTCTCTAACCTCTACTTATTCACTTTTGTGATTTTAGGATCATCCTTCAAGGTTGAAGCACTGGCTTCTCCTGGGCTTAGCTCTCCTTACTTCAGGAATTATTCTACACTTCACTCATGGTGTGAACTCTTAACTCAATGTTGAATGGATCATGGAAGCTACCATGTAACTTTACATCTATCCTCACTTATTCTGATGATGCCTTCACCCTGTTCCTTTCTCTGTTTGTTGCAGCCATTCCTTTGAATAAACAATTGTACACACTGAGCTATGTTTGTGTAACATCTGGAGCAGCGGCATTACTTTTTTCAGCCTTCTATATTATGGTATGTTTTTGGCTCTCAACAGTGAATGCTGGAAATTGTACTGCCCTTTCTTTCTATCATAGTATATTTTGTCTTTCAAAGTTTTTATTGATAGATGTTATTAATGTACTTTTATTTCAATGTGATTTTTTATTTTAAAAAAAAAATTATTTCTTTAAAGTACTAGTGAGCAAGTATTATTTAGACTTTTCTCATCATGTGGGTTGATTTAGAATTGGCACTGTGCGATTGCAGGTTGATATTTGGGGTTTGAAATTGTTGTTCATGCCTTTGAAATGGATTGGCATGAATGCCATGCTTGTCTATGTCATGGCAGCTGAGGGAATCTTTGCAGGATTCATCAATGGGTGGTACTATGATGACCCTCATAATACACTGGTACATTCAAAAGTTGAATCTTTCAACTACATCTTTTTTTTCTAATTTCTTTTTTATGTTACTGAGCTGTCTCCAAACTTATGTAATTTTTAAATTTTGGGTCTAGAACTAATGGATGTTTGTTTAATTTTTGTTAACAGATATATTGGATCCAAAAGCATGTCTTCATTAACGTTTGGCATTCAAGGAGAGTTGGCATCCTTCTGTATGTGATCTTCGCAGAGATCTTATTTTGGGCCGTCGTAGCTGGCATTTTGCACCGATTGGGCCTATATTGGAAGCTCTGAATATTCAAAAACACCTGCGAACAAATACTTATCTACGTGCTATCTTAAGGTTAATTTAAAATATCTATAAATACTAACTTTTATTAAAATAATATTTATTGTTCCTTTAGTTATTTATCATCTCTCCTTAGCTTATGTTAACATTTTTCGTATTATTTTTAACTGTGTGTATACGTTTTGTTGTTGTATGTTCAATCTGATCAGCAATTTCGCTTAATTCCATTTTTAATATTTCAAGTCACCTATACTTATAGCAAAATAGTTACTTATTGTGTGATTTAACTGAAAAAATGTAATGGATAAACTATTACCCTTCAGAGAGTCCTCCTTTGACAAGGATATTCATAACCATCTCATTTTATTAACCCGGCAAGTTACTTTTAATGAGGTCAAAGCTTTTAAAGTTGGACTCAATGTATTTTAAAGATGAATCTAAGTCACACTTTAGTCGTTTTAATCCAACTTTTTATTTTATATGCTTTTAAAAATTATAATTTTTTAACAATTATATATGATTAATAATATTTTTTAACTTAATATTAATATTTTATATAAATATTATATTTATATTGTTATTTATTTTAAAATATATTATATAAAATACATCTTAATTTTACTTTTATATTTTTTAAATTTTATAATTTATTTATACATGATAATAAATTAATATATCATGTCAATAAATTGAGTTGATTTAATTTTATTTCATATATTATTATTACTCGATAAAAAATTGGACTGAAAATGGAGGGTGAAGGTGATTGCTCATATTGGGCCTAGGTCAAAGGCCACTCCCACTTCGACTGGCCCATGGTTTGTGTTTGACAATGTTATAAAAGAAAAGGGGAATTTGAGATTGCGATTACCTCTGGAACAAGTTGTGTGCATGAAAACTGAAAAGTAGTAGTAATTAGCAATTGAATTGATGGCGAGCGAGGACACGAACTTCGAAGACGATCAACTAGCGTCTATGACCACCGATGACATCGTTAGAGCTTCTCGTCTACTCGATAACGAGATTCGCATTCTCAAGGTATCTTCTCTCTTCTCCTTTTACCGTTATTTTCATTTAATTTTTTTTATTCATTCGTGACTCGCGTCTCCTCCTAGGGTTTCATTCAATTCGTTTTATTTCAGTTTAATCTTGCTTTTCACGTTTATGGTTTTTTTTATTTGCTTTTGTGTTTAAAGGAAGACTTGCAGAGGACCAATCTGGAATTGGAATCGTACAAGGAGAAGATAAAAGAGAATCAGGAGAAGATCAAGCTTAATAAGCAGTTGCCTTACCTCGTTGGCAACATTGTCGAGGTTGTTTCCTGCTCCTATCTGTTTTGTCTTGTTTGTTATTTCTGCTCCGTGGTGATTTATACTGTCGTGCAAATAGACAAATTAGTCCATGGAATAAATTGCATTTGAGAGTAATTACATGGACTGTGAATGTTGACATTGTTTAAACTCTAAAGTTGTCTTAACTAGTGAGATTGAATTCCCTGTAAAATTTGCAGACTCTAAATTTAAGGTTCCAAGACCTTTATCTTACATATAAACGTTGTTACCAGGGAAACTCCCACTTGACAAGTTGAAAAGAAATCTTTAGCTTTGGTGATTTTTCTTTTTCAAGTTTGTGGAATATCATGGTTTATTTTGTAGCTTTACTGCAATTGGCTTAGGGTTTGAGCGTGTATTTTGAGTTGATTGGCCTCTTTAATAATCTACTACTAATGTGTGAAGGATAATGAATGATTGAATTCTTCAGTGAGGATAATCAGCTGAGTGCGGGAGGTTTTCTTGTTGAATATTTAACTTGGTTTTTCCCTTCCCTAGTGATCTTTTAAATTCTGACATGGTTTTTGGTTTTCAGATATTGGAAATGAACCCAGAAGATGAAGCTGAAGAAGATGGTGCCAACATTGATCTTGACTCCCAAAGGAAGGGAAAATGTGTGGTGCTAAAGACATCTACTAGACAGGTGACAAGGCTATGATAATTTCATAACATTTGGACAGAAATTTGTTGTTTTTTGCATTTCTTTTGGGTCCCCAGAAAAACATAATGGCCTTGGAGTTTTGTTAGTTGGTGAAGGAAAGCCTTATTTATAACTTGCTGCATTAATAAATTATGTTTTCTTTTGAGTGCAGACGATTTTTCTTCCTGTTGTTGGGCTTGTTGACCCTGACAAGTTAAAACCAGGTGATCTGGTCGGTGTTAACAAAGATAGCTACTTAATCTTGGATACTCTGCCTTCTGAGTATGATTCACGAGTTAAAGCCATGGAAGTTGATGAAAAGCCAACAGAGGACTACAATGACATTGGTGGGTTAGAGAAGCAGGTATGCTCTAATTTATGGCAATTTGTCAAAGCAAATTTTTTTTTCTTATTTTAGTTAACAGGTCTGTGTGACTAGTAACTTGTGTTTGGCCAACAGATCCAAGAATTAGTTGAAGCCATTGTTTTGCCAATGACGCACAAGGAGAGGTTCCAGAAATTAGGAGTTCGTCCTCCCAAGGGAGTGCTCTTATATGGACCTCCAGGGACTGGGAAAACATTAATGGCCCGTGCTTGTGCAGCACAAACAAATGCCACTTTTCTGAAGTTGGCAGGTCCACAGCTGGTCCAGGTATGCCTCTTCTTTTTTTCCCTTTTAAATTTTTATTTTGAATAATAATTTGATTGTTGCTTAACTGTTACCCTTTACCCCTCTTTCTTAAATAACTTAATGGTTAGTATTTCCATTTGCTGATTTTTAACGGGTAGATATTTTCATTATCCTCCGATAATTTTTTGGCTAATAATTTTGTTATTTTTTTATGAAACATGTTGATTGTACATGAATTAGTTATTTTCATTTTATGTTCGCATATGGAGGATATAAATATGCTTGGATTATTCTCATATTATGTTTGTTTTCATAGGTTGTAATTTTTCCTGTTACATTTATGCAATTGTCTACTTGCTTTATATGTTTGTATACATGTCTATGTACTGCATCAGCATTTGGAACAGAGGAGTGATCTATCCTGGAATTTTACAGATGTTTATAGGAGATGGAGCAAAACTTGTCCGTGATGCCTTTCAGCTAGCAAAAGAGAAATCTCCGTGCATTATATTTATAGATGAAATTGATGCAATTGGAACCAAGCGTTTTGATAGGTATGACTGAATGAGCAGGCTGGATTTTAGATCTTCATTTCCTTTTGCCCTTCTTTTCTTACCTTTTCTGGAGTTCAGCAACCTGGTGATGTTATTGGATTGCTGATTGCAGTGAAGTAAGTGGAGACAGGGAGGTACAACGAACTATGTTAGAATTGCTCAATCAACTTGATGGTTTTAGTAGTGATGACCGTATCAAGGTTTATCTTCTATTCTTATCTAATTCTTTTTTTCCACTGATTGATGTGGTAAACAGTAAACTTTGATGTTTACTGTCTTTGGATTAAGCTTATAAGAATATATGTTCTTGAAAACCATCGATGGAGTTAGTCACCATGCTTATACTTTTGATTCGAAACAAATCAAATTATGATTATATATAAGGTCTGTTTGTTTTAAAGTTTTGCCTCTGCAATCAGACAATTTGTCGAAAAATGAAAATTCTCTGCGCAGATTTTTCTTTTTTGGTCTTTTGTTTAACGCATATTTCCAATTAAGTTTTTACTCAAAACACACATGATGTTGGCACAAAATGTTTTAACTTTTTATTCAGTTAGAAGTTGGGTGATTGAAATGTCATTTTTGCTCACTAGTTCTAAATTGCAGGTGATTGCTGCCACAAACCGTGCAGATATTCTTGATCCTGCCCTAATGCGGTCTGGTCGATTGGATCGAAAAATTGAGTTTCCACACCCAAGTGAAGAGGCTAGAGCCCGAATTCTGCAGGTTTGGTATCTTCAAACCTTATCTGCTGTTTATTTTTCCTGACAGAATATTTACATACCACTTTCATGTTAATCTTATAGATCCATTCCCGGAAGATGAATGTTCATCCAGATGTTAACTTTGAAGAATTAGCTCGGTCCACGGATGATTTCAATGGAGCACAACTTAAAGCAGTCTGTGTCGAGGCTGGCATGTTGGCCCTTCGCCGTGATGCAACCGAGGTTTGCTTGCTTCATTCAACCACCTAATAAATAATAATTCATGATTAAAACCTAGCTTGAAATCACTAGATTATCATTCCTGTTTGGATATTTTGTTTTTTTACTTTTTCTGTTTTCTGTTAACGTGCTTTTATTTCAAAATGTTGCGAATTGCTTTTGCGATTTTGTGGTTCAATTCAATGTCAAAGGTTTGGACCAAGTTAGAATTCAACAAAACATGTTGTCCAATTGTAGGTGAACCATGAGGACTTTAATGAAGGTATCATCCAAGTCCAAGCAAAGAAGAAATCAAGCTTAAATTATTATGCATAGGCACTCAACGCAATGAAGAACCGGCATTTATGTCTGACATTTATTTTCTAGTATCAATTTTACTCGAATCATATGTAATTTATAGCTTGCTAATTATCATCTTTAAAAACAGTAATGTAATCTTACATTTCACAGAAGTAGCTATATGTTGTATCTGCTTCCTGTTTTAAAATTTGTCGTGCTGGGTGCAAGTTTCTCTGTGTTCAGTAAACCGTTATGAAATATGTTACATTCGGTATATACGGGTTGGGCAATGTCAAGGCTGGAAGCTAAATTTGAATCTAACGGAGGATTATTTGAAATCGCGGAACAGTTGATCGAGTAATTGATTGCATGACATCAAGCAACTAAGGAGAGAGCATTAGAAAGAAATCTTAAAGTCTTGTTTCAAAGAAAAGTGCCAATCGTTTTATGATGTTGATTTCTGTTTTTCTTTCATTTTACACAACTGTGAAGTTATTTATAGAGTGAAGTTATTTATAGAACAATTTTATGGTCCATGTGTTCCATTTTTGTACTTTTAAGAAGTGTTTTTACAATTGATGGTATTTTGTTGAAAAATGTCATGTGATCATAAAAATGCGTAAGAACTACGGATAAAGTTGCTTTCATTTTCACTTTTTTATCCCGTGAAGATGTGTTGGAAGTATTGTAACTTGTTATGTAAAAATAACATTAGTTTAGGAATTTAAGTCATAAAATAGAAAAAGAGATTTGCATGAGAATTTTGTGAATATAAAAAAATTAATTAGAGATAATATCAATATTAAGGAAATAAATAAAAAATGTACGATATTTGGATTCTTACTAGAACTAAGGAGACACTTGTATTATAAATTACCAAGTAAGAATGTTTCATAACTCACTATATAATTTTAGTATTCTTTATTATTGATGAATATATGTCATGTCATCATATTTATTTTTGTAATTGTGTTTATCTATATCGAGTTTAGTTTATATTCACGATTCATTTGTTTAGCTTTTATTATTATAATTAGTTAGTTAGGTTAGAACTAACTAAATAAGAACAACATTAACACTAAAAAATGGTAAGAAACAATTTAATAGAGTCAATTTAATCCTCATAATTAGTCGCAAACAGTAGGTTAGTTAGGTTAGAACTAACAAAGGAGGTGGAAAGAAGATTTGGAGCTGGAGACAAAACACTAATTTAAACTTATCTGAAAGACAGAGCTGGAGGAAGAGCTTGAGACAAAGCGATGAGCAGTTTAAACTCTTATGAAAGATGTTAAGAAGAGCTTGACTTCTCTAGAAGGAAGAGAAGGAGGTGGAAAGAAGAGCTCGAGACAAAACGAAGAGATTCTTGCAATTTAAACTTATTCAAAAGAATTTTTAGAGCTTGAAACAAAGCGATGAAGATCTTGCAGTTTAAACTCTTATGAAAGATGTTAAGAAGAGGTCGACTTCTCTAGAAGGAAGTGAAGGAGGTGGAAAAAGAGCTCGAGACAAAACGAAAAGATTCTTACAGTTTAAACTTATCCAAAAGAATTTTTAAAATTTTTATTCATTTATTTACATGTTACTTGGGACAATGTTACAGGACTAATGCATCAAGCTGGGATGGGGAAAAGACATCTTCACAGCAGAGGCTTGGGACAATGTTACAGGACTAATGCATCAAGCTGGGATGGGGAAAAGACATCTTCACAGCAAAGGCAAATAAGAGCGTCTTACTATAATTGGGATTGCAAACACGTTTTAATGTTATATATATGGCGCCTGTTGTTGTGCCATGTTATATACACGTTTTAACAAAAAAACTAGTTTACTAATAAAATTTTACAATTTTGACAGATTTTTTTGCCAAAAAATACGTCACTAATCTATGTGCGATGAATTTTGTGACTAAACTTACTGTCTTCATACTACTTATTCTTAAGATTTAGGCTTGAGAATTTTATATTCATTCTCAGTAAGAGCAACATTAACACTAGAAAGGGCAAGGAACAATTTAATAGAGTCAACTCAGTCCTCATAGTTAGTCTTAGATAGGTTAGTTAGGTCATAACTAACTAAGTAAATAGTTAGACTCTTTCCTCTATATGCTTGTTCTCTCATTGCTTGGGTATATTTTTGACATCAGTAAACATATGGATTCTCTTTTTGAAAAATAGATGAGGTGGAATAAAGACTTGTAGCTAGAGCTGGAGATAAAAAGCAGTTCTTCCAGTTTAAATTGCTCTCAAAAATGGAAAGAAAAGCTTGACTTATCTGAAAGACAGAGGAGTTGGAAAGAAGAGCTGAATGAGGAGCCTGAGAAGAAACGATGAGATTCTTACAATTTAAACTCGTCTGAAAGATAGTAAAAAGAGCTCGACTTATCTGAAAGACAAAGTAGGAGATGGAAAGAAGAGCTCCATACAAAACAAACACGAAAAGTTTCTTGAAGTTTAAACTTATCCGAAAGAATTTCTAAAATTTCAACTCATTTATTTATATATGGCTTGAGACAACTTTGTAGGAATTATGCACCAAGCCGGGATGGAGGGAAAGACATCTTCACAATAGAGGCAGTGGACAAGATCTGCTTCTTCTGCTAAATAATTGCGTCGTAGTTTTGTTAGGATTACAAATATGTTTTAATGTTATATATATGGCGCTTGTTATTGTGCCATGTTGTATACACGTCTTAACATTAAACAAGTTCACTATTAAAATTTTACAATTTTAGACGGATTTTTTTGCCAAAAAAATAAGTCACTAACCTATTTGTATGACTAAACTTACTTCTTAGTACTACTTATTATAATGGTGTGAGAACTTTATATTCATTTTCAACAAGAGCAACATTAACACTAGAAAATGTCAATGAATAATTTAACAGAGTTAGCTCAGTCCTTATATAAGTTTTATTTCTGAAAGACAGGTGTAAAGAAGACCTCGAGCTGGAGCTAGAGACCTTGGAACTGGAGACAAATTGTCGTTCTTCTAGTTTAAACTCATCTGAAAAATGGAAATAAGAGCTCGACTTATTTGAAAGACAGAGGAGGTGGAAAGGAGAGCTAAAAGAGGAGCTTGAGACAAAATAATGGGATTTTTGCAGTTTAAACTTCTCTAAAAAGATAGTAAGAAGAGCTTAACTTATCTGAAAGATAAGGAGGTGAAAATAAGAGCCTGAGGAGGAGCTCTAGACAAAACGACAAGGTTATTGTAGTTTAAACTTATACAAAAGAATTTCTAAAATTTCAACTTATTTATCTTCACATGGCTTGGGACAACGTTGTAGGAATAATGCGCCAAATTAAGATGGAGGGAAAAACATCTTCACAGCAGAGGCAGCAGACAAGATCAAGATCTGCTTCTTTTGCCAAATAAAAGCGTCTTAATGCAGTTTTTGTTGAGATTGCAAACACGTTTTAATATTATATACACAGCGCCTGTTGTTATATACACGTCTTAACATTAAACCAATACACTGTTAAACTTTCACAATTTTGCTATGGATTTGTTTCGTCAAAACTTACCTCTTAATACTACTCATTCTTAAGATTGAGGTGTGAGAACTTTATATTCATTTTCAACAGGAGTAACATCAACACTAAATAATAGCAAGAAACAATTTAACACAGTCAACTCAGTCCTCATAATTAGTCCCAGATATGTTAGTTAGGTCAGAACTAGCTAAGTAAATAGTTAGACACTTTCCTATATATGCTTGTTCTCTCATTCCTTGGATAGATTCTTGATATCAATGAACATATGGATTCTTTTTCTGAAAATAGAGGAGGTGGAATGAAGACCTCGAGCTAGAGCTGGAGATAAAACGCGATTCTTTCAGTTTAAACTGCTCTAAAAAATGGAAAGAATAACTCGACTTATCTGAAAGACAGAATAGGTGGAAACAAGAGTTGAAGGAGGAGCTTGAGAAGAAACGATGAGGTTATTACAGTTTAAACTCTTCTGAAAGTTGGTAAGAGGAGCTCGACTTATCTGAAAACAAAGTAGAAGATGGAAACAAGAGCTCGAGGAGCTCGATACAAAACGACAAGTTTCTTTAAGTTTAAACTTATCCGAAATAATTTCTAAAATTTAAACTCATTTATTTACACGTGACTTGAGACAACTTTGTATGAATGATGCACCAAGCTGGGATGAAGGGAAAGACATCTTCATAGCAGAGCCCGTGGACAAGATATACTTCTTCCGCCAAATAATTGCGTCATAGTTTTGTTGGGATTGCAAACATATTTTAATGTTATATACATGGCGCCTGTTGTTATGTCATGTTATATACACGTTAAACAAGTTTATTATTAAAATTTTACAATTTTGCGACGGATTTTTTTTGCCAAAAAGTAAGTCACTAATCTATATACGACAGATTTTATGACTAAACTTATTTCTAGTGTTAATGTTACTCTTGTTGAGAATGAATATAAAGTTTTCTTTATTAAAATTTTACAATTTTGCGACAGATTTTTTTTGCCAAAAAGTAAGTCACTAACCTATATACGATAGATTTTATGACTAAACTTATTTCTTAGTACTACTTATTCTAAAGATTGAGGTGTGAAAAATTTATATTCATTCTCAACAAGAGCAACAGTAACACTACAAAATGACAAGGAATAATTTAACAGAGTCAACTCAATCCTCATATAGATTAGTTAGGACAGACCTAACTAACTAATCAATTAAACTTTTTACTATACATGCTTGTTCTCTCATTGCTTATATATATGTTCTTGACATCAATGAACATATGGATTCTCTTTTTGAAAGACGAAGGTGGAAAGAATTAGAGACCTTGGAGCTAGAGACAAAATGTTGTTCTTCCAGTTTAAACTCCTCTAAAAGATGGAAAGAAGAACTCAACTTATTTGAAAGACAGAAGAAGTAGAAAGAAGAGCTGTAGGAGGTTTTTGCAGTTTAAACTCTTTTGAAAAATGGTAAGAAGAGCTTAACTTATCTGACAGACAAAGAAGAAGGTGAAAACAAAATCTGGAGCTCTAAACAAAACGACAAGGTTCTTGCAATTTAAACTTATAGGAAAGAATTTTTTAAATTTTAAATCATTTATTTACATGTGCTTAGGACAACATTATAGTAATGATGCGCCAAGTTGGGATTGAGGAAAAAACATATTCACAGCAGAGGCAGCGGACAAGATCTGCTTCTCCTGCCAAATAGAGTGTCTTACAGTTTTGTTAGGATTGCAAACACGTTTTAATGTTATATACATAACGCATGTTATTGTGCCATGTTATATACACGTCTTAACATTAAACCAGTTTGCTATTAAAATTTTACAATTTTGTGACGGATTTGTTTTGCCAAAAAAATACGTCACTAACCTATTTGCGACGGATTTTATGACTAAAGTTACTTCTTTATAGTACTCATTCTCAAGATTGAGGTGTGAGAACTTTATATTCATTCTCAACAAGAGCAACATTAACACTAAAAAACTGGAAATAAACAATTTAACACAGTTAATTCAGTCCTCAAAATTAGTCCTAGTTAGATTAGAACTAACTAAGTAAACAGTTAGACTCTTTCCTATATATGCTTGTTCTCTCATTGCTTGGATGGATTCTTGACATCAGTGAACATATGTATTCTCTTTCTGAAAGACAGAGAAGGTGGAAAGAAGACCTTAAGCTAGAGCTGGAGATAAAACGCGGTACTTCCTATTTAAACTTTGTTGAAAGATGCAAAGAAGAGCTCTGAAAGACAAAAGAGGTGGAAAGAATAGCTGAAAGAGGAGTTTGAGACAAAATGATGAGCTTGTTGCAGTTTAAACTTCTTTGAAAGACAGTAAGAAAAAATTGACTTACAAAGGAAGAGGTGAAAACAAGAGCTTGAGAAAGAGCTCGAGACAAAACAACAAGGTTATTACAGTTTATACTTATTCAAAAGAATTTCTAAAATTTCAACTTATTTATTTACATGTGGCTTGGGACATTGTTGTATGAATGATGTGCCAAGCTGGGATAGAGGGAAAAACATCTTAGAGTAGAGGCAGCAGACAAGATCTATTTCTCCTACCAAATAAGAGCATCTTACTACAGTTTTTGTTGAGATTGCAAACTTGTTTTAATGTTATATACATGGCGTCTGTTATTGTGCCATGTTATATACACACGTCTTAACATTAAACTAGTTTACTATTAAAATTTCATAATTTTGTGACGTATTTTTTGCCAAAAAATACATCACTAACCTATCTTTGACGTATTTTATGATTAAACTCACTTTTTAGTACTTCTCATCCTCAAGATTTAGTTGCGAGAACTTTAGATTCATTGTCAACAAGAGCAACATTAATACTAGAAAATGAGAAGGAACAATGTAAAAGAGACAACTCAGTCCTCATAATTAGTCCTAGCTAGGGTAGTTATGTTAGAACTAACATATTAACCAGTTTTGTTGGGATTGCAAACAAGTTTTAATGTTATACATATAGCGTCTATTGTTGTGCCATGTTATATATATGTTTTAATGTTAGACCAGTTTCTCGTATCTATCTTTGACTTTCTTTCTTACCTTTTGGGATAAAAGGAAAATTTTAACCCAAAATTACGTTCTTGGTGACTATTATTGATCATAATACTTTGTAGTAACATGCAAGGTTGTCAATCATAAGAGTCTATGTAAACTCATGGAGCTGTAGACTTGGCTCATAAACTAAAAGTTTTCCAAATACAATAATAATATTAAAAAATAGTAATAGTATTATTTTCAAAGACATTCATCCTAGTTTTAGAAGTGGATGCTTGAGGGCTTTTACCCACCAATTTCAGAATATGTTTCTAAAGTTAAAGTGTTGTTTATGTTTTCCTTTTATTTTACACAACTATGAAGTTTCTTTTTTTTTTATTTTTAAGAAGTGTCTTTACAACTTATGGTATTTCGTCGAAGAATGTGATGTGATTATAAAATTATGTAAACAAGTACAGATACAATTGTAACTTGTTATATAAGAATTACATTAGTTTATGAATTTAAGTCATAAAATAGAAAAAGAGATTTGTATGAGAATTTTATGAATATAAAAAATTAATTTGAGGTAATGTCAATATTAAGGAAATAAAAAAAAATACACGTTATTTGGATTCTTACTAAAACTAAGTAGACACATATATTATAAATTAAATCAAATAAAAATATTTAAAACACTTCATTAGGAAGCATATTTTAGAACTCACAATTAACTTATAAAAGTAAGGAATATATACAATTCCATTTATATAGGTAGAATATTTGTTGTGCATCTTCATGTTGTTGTCTTTGTTAATCACTTTTTATTTTGACAATCATAAAACAATATATAATTTTAGTATTCTTTTTTATTGATATATAATCATAAAACAATACATAATCTTCATGTTGTTGTCTTTGTTAATCATCATATTTATTTTGTACTTGTGCTATCTATATTGAGTTTAGTTTATATTCACAATTTATTTATTTAGTTTTTATTATTATAAATATAAATGTTTTCCACTTTTGATATTAGATATTAGCTTTTGGGATTAGAATTTAACAAGGAAAAAAATAGGATCATGCTTTTAAAAGGATTCATATAGAAATAAGATTGAAAAACTCCATATTCAGGAAACAACATTAAATGAATATGTTGATGAATTTAATAAAAATAAATAAATTTGAAATAATGCTATTAAAAGATTTTGTATAATTAAGAGTCCAATGGATTGAGATATCAGTATATACTATGAATTATTATGACAGTGCTAATCAAACAAAGATTGGTAATTTATGTTTAAGTTTAATACTAAAAAAATAGGAAAATTACTATAAAATACAAATAAATTAAATTAAATTAAATATTATTTAAAGAAAATATTAACAAAAATAATATGAGAATTAATAATTTTATTTTTTAAATAAAGATAACCCTATTAAATGCGCTTATAAAATTATTATACGATTAAAAGGTACATAAATAAAGTATGAAAACATATCCCTTTTATAGAACTCAATATGGGCTTTATCTTTGAGACGCCTTTATTTATTATTTTCTTTACAATGAATGAATTGAATTCATATTTAGACAGGTTTGTTAAAAAAATTTATTGAATATTTTACATAATTATAATTAAATTGAATACTTGAATTTGATCAAAAGTTTAATTAATTAATTAATTTTGTTAAAAAAATAAAATTGATCAAAATTATGCTATTTCATATTTTTTATGATATTAAGTTACGAGTCATTTTTTAATTAAAAAATATTTGTTTAAAATAATCACATAATAAATTAAAGCATGTAAAAATTTAAAAATAAGTTACAATATTTTTTTTTATAAATGCACGATAGACAATTATAGTATATAGAAAAACGGTACAGAAGCTGATCAAACGCTTAAGTCGTGTAAAAAAAAAAGAAAAGGAAAGACGTGATCAGTTAAAATAAAATTCAATAAAAAAAAGTAAAAAATAATAAAATCTATAAACTTGGTTTATGGAGAGAACAGTTTTTACGCGTCCAATTACATTCTAAAATTAAATATTAAAAAAAGTGAAGAGAGAGAAGAGATTTTGATGACATTCAATTTCTTATATCCCTTTTCCCAAACTCCCCAAACCATCTTTGGTCCTTTCTTCTCTCTCTGTCTTTCTGTGTGCTGAACAAAAGAAAAAGAAAGAAAAGAGTTTGGAATTAAGATCTGATCTATTTAAACTGCTCTACTCACGCTTTCACTTTTACATTCCTAATCCGAACTGAAACCCGCACACGACGCAAATCATTCCGTTCCGTTCCTGTCTGAATGACGTGATTCCATCTATTAGGGTTTTCAATTGCGATGGGTCTCGGAAACGATGACGATGACGGAGACACAAACGACTCCTTCTCTTCCCTGCCTTGCTCTATTTGCCTCGACCTTGTTGCCGATAACGCCGATAGATCCTGGGCCAAGCTTCAATGTGGCCATCAATTTCATCTCGGTACGTATTCGTGCTTCCTCTCTCGTTTCAATGCCTCCAATTCGACGCCGTTTTTATTGTTAGATTGAACTTCTAACAATTGAGATCTGGTTTTTAATTTTTGCATTTGTTTCATTTAATCTTTTTATTTTATTTGAAAATTTTGTGCTCTTTGCTGGAGTGGTATTTTTGTTGAGCTAGGGAGAGAGTGCTTTGGGCTTTGTTTTTATTATTACACTTTTTTTTCCTGTTGTTATAATTTTGTAAGGTAGATCTTTCCTCATATTTTTCTCATCTGACTCAATATTTTGTTCTTCTGGGTGAAATATAGCAGCAAATAATGATTTTGAGTTTCTACATGCACGGGATTTCTTCTGTGCTACAGATGATAATGGTTGCTGGAATTTCATTGTTCTTGTTGAACTGATGGAAACTAACTGTTTTGGAAGACATGTTTAATAGTACTCAAATTGTTTGAAGACTTATATAAATTAGGCTAATTAAATTATGTCATAACTCATATGTTATGGTTATTAACAGCTATCATATAAACATTGTTTGTTCTCAACCAATGAAAGAATGATAGATTGATTTTGATGAGCTGGGAAAATTGTTTAGCTACATTAAGGTGTATTCCCTGTGACTTGAACCTATGGCCTTTACACAAACTACTGCACTCTCCCCAACAAACTGTTTTATAGTGATGGCATGTTGAAAAGTGAAGACGAAAAAATCCTGGCTTATACTAGGACTTTAATTTACAACAATTGGTTTATGAATACATGTTTTAAAAGTAATGCAATTTTGCTTGGTTTCATATTTCAACTTTTTTATGGGCTGATAGCTTGTCTGCATGGCATCGCATCATATTGCTATGCATCTTATTACCTTCTTTTTGTTGTTCAGATTGCATTGGCTCAGCCTTCAATATAAAAGGGGCAATGCAGTGCCCTAATTGTCGGAAGATTGAGAAGGGTCAGTGGCTTTATGCTAATGGTAGCCGATCATATCCAGAATTTAACATGGATGATTGGACACATGATGAGGATCTCTATGATGTTAGCTACTCTGAAATGGTAATAGAAACTGTACGTGTTCTTTCAATTTTTTCTTCCATTTTGTTTCTCTATTTCACAATAAGCATATGTTTGCATTGGCTTATTTTATAAAAAGCCATAAATTTAGCAATGGAAAATAGGTAGGTTGCTCTTTCTGAGCTTGACCTGCACATAACAAGTATCAGGAGAACTCGGGTGACACTGTAATAATGTCTATGAATTGGCAACATTTTGTTTGTATTAATCAGTGCTATTAAGTACTTCTGTCTAAATGAAAAACACCCAATACGGACATTAATCTCATATCATGCTAACATGTACAGTCTAAATTTTATCTTCTGCTGATGCTGGGCAACTTTATGTTGTCAACTGATTTTTAGTAAAATTAGGTGCTTATTTTTATGCATATGTGCGAGCTTGATTGTAAATATTACTTTACTAGATTTTGTTAAAAAAATTTACACAGAAATTGTTGTTTTAGGACAGTGGTTACTCAAGAGTAGGAAAGAAAAACTAACTTCTAGATTGAAGAATTAGATAATTTCAATATCTTTGACCTGCTTTGAAGTTTGAAGCTAACTTCTTCTTTCTTTTGCCTTCATTCATATGTACCTTCCCCAATCTTCCAAATGTACAATGAAATCCCTACTGGTGCATTTTTTTTTCCATTACTTTTGTAGTGCATGATTCTAGCCAAAATCCCTTTTCTATATATATATATGCTTAAGCAGCTGGAATTATCTAATTCTTTTCCCTCTTATGTGGGTAGATCTTACCATGTGGACTAAACTTTGGTTTCTAAATGCTTTCTGCAGTCCTTTGGAGTTCACTGGTGCCCTTTTGGTAACTTGACCCGACTTCCTTCATCTTTCGAGTAAGCTTTAGTATCATACAATAATATGCATGCAGACTATTCTCTGTTCAAATTCCTATTTGTGATATTCTTTTGTTCTGTAAAGTCCCTGTCCCTGATGAAACATGAATGTGGACTTTTTTGAAGGCTATTTCTAAGAAACAATGGTGTTGCTGATACTGCTCATGACTTCAATGACATTTTTGTTTACTAAATTTGTTTTTAGGTGACCCACATATTATAAAAGGTTAATTTTAGTGTGTTTAGCTTGGAACTAGATCAGGTTAATAAAGACAAATGTGGTTAAAGTGTTAATACCATCTGAAATCGTGACTTCATATTATATTTTAGAATAAGATCTTTTGGGAAATAAGAGAGGAGAAAGTGAAAAAAAAATGGATATCTTGACAAAGTATTGAGAATTTGAAGAGCTAATTTCTAATTTGCTCCAAGGTGTACTTCAATAAGACTTAATTTCCCATTGATTGAGGACAGAAGCTGCCATGTTCTCTTCTATAAGCTCTGCCACACTTGGGAGTCAGAGACTAGACTAGTCTAGTTTTGTTGGGAACTGCTCAAATTTCTGGTGAAATTGGCATGAAAAGTTATGTTAGATGTACTTGTTATTGAATATAATTATTCTCTTTTAAAAAAATTACAAATATGAATTGTTAAAGATATTTCAAATTGAATTCTAATATTCAAGCTTCCTCATGTACCGAAAAAAGGGTTTAGGGATATGTCTTATCCTCCTTGCAAATAATTCACCTTTTCTTGTGATCAAATATGTTTACTTTATTCAGCATAACAAAAAAATTAGTGTATGTATGAATGATACCGGTTTTGGTTATATTTCCACAGCATTTTAGCTGTTGCTATTTGCTAGTTGTTTCAAAACGTATGATTGTTTAAAAAGTTACTTTGGGGTTCCAAACTGATCACAGTTCTCAAACTGTTGTGGAACAAAAATCATGGTCTCAGTGGGCCATATTGAAATGGAAGATTGATTGTGTTAGTACTGCTACTATTATGGATGATTGAGGAAACATCTTTGGTAATAGTGTTTGGCAGTATTGTTCTGGCTTTTTGGTAATACATGTACTCTCCCTCCCCCCCCCCCTCTCTCTCTCTCTCTTCCATGCACACAAAAAATATTATGAAATGATAGCTCATGTTATATTTTTTTTTTCCAGGGAAGGGGAATTTTCATCAACTGCATGTAAGATCCTTTTTCCTGCACATCAGCCTCCTTTTCATCAAACTTGCATTTGACTGAATATGTTATCTCGACTGGAATTTTGAGATGCAGATCATGATGTACTGGGACAACATGCTTTATTTGCTGAACATACAGCTGTATCATCTGCTAGTCATCCTTGCCCGTATATTGCTTACTTTGGACCAATACATCCTTCCACCTCCAACACTAGTGGGGCTGTTTCAGAAGCTTCTACCTTCAACCATTGGCATGGGCCACCTGTACCTAGTGACATGCCAACCTCCTACACATTTCCTGCGGTGGATCTTCATTATCACGGTTGGGAACACCATTCCTCTCCTTTCTCTTCTGCCAGTACTCGACTAGGTGCTGGTGATCAGACCTCAGTATCCCCTGGTAGTCAAAGGCCTGCCAGGGGTGGGTCAGAGGTCCCTAGATCTGGATCCTTTGTGCATCCTTTCCTTGTTGGTCACAGGTAGTAGTACCTCTTTAGAGTTTGTGTACCTTACTAGGATGCTTTGTATTTTCAGAAGTTAGTACATTGCTCAAGCCTCAAATGCATAAGCTCATTGTTGTACGCTACCAAATTCATAATAAAATTGGGTTAAATTCAATTAGTAGATTAAAAAAATGATGGAACTAGGCATCTTTTGAAATTTGTTAAGGTCATGGGGATTGACATTTGATGTGTGTAATTCTGTAGTTCTGCTGCTAGAGCTGGAAACTCTGTTGCGTCTTCAATGATCCCTCCTTATCCAGGCAGCAATGCTCGAGCCCGTGATAGAGTCCAAGCCCTTCAAGCATATTATCAAACCCAGCAACCGCCCAATTCTGCCACAATACGAACACATGTTGCTTCTGGCACTCGAAGGTCCAGTAGTTACAGTGGTTCAAGTCCATTAGCACCAATGGCCTCGTCACCAGACCAGAGTAGTGGCTTCGTTTATATCCCATCAGCTTCTCCAGGACGTAATTTTCATGAAGAAAGCCATCTGCCAAGTCACTTCCATGCTTGGGAAAGAGACCACTTGCCTTCATTGTCATTGTCATTAAACCATGTTGGTAGAGAATCGAGTTGGAGACCATATCACCAGACTGCCAGTGCATCAGACCCAGGTATCAGATCCAGCAGCTTTCGATTAAGGCATGAATCAGAAAGAATGCCTTCACAAAATCGGTGACATACTGGTTTTATGTCAAACTACCGTTGTTATGGAAAATCAAAATTTGTGTATGCTTGAGAAAAGTTATGTAATGCTTTTAGCCTGGCTGGCGTGTTATGGCAGACTTTATATATGGCTAGCCTTGTAATTCATCTTTCTGGCAGCCGTGTGGCAGTGTGATGGACATTGGCCTCTTCTAGTTTCTTTGCCTTGGAAGGGCATAAAATAAGATCCTATCTAGTTGAAAAAATTAGCTTTTGGAAAGGGGCATTGTCAATTCAAGTGATAAATTAAGTGGATGAGAGCTGTTGTGGCAACCATTTGTTGTAGTGGGTGAATTTTTTATTTCTGATATCGACGCTCAAGCAAATGCTGTATATCGAAAACACGCTTAATCTTATCACCACCGGGGCAAGTGTGATCATAGACTGTTGTGTTAGAACTGGTCCTTTGGGTTCTGAACTCGTTTGAGAAATGGGAACCATGTCTATTTAGGATTTTTTTCAAGGCTGATTTATTCAAAAAAAGGTACTTTAACGAAATAATCTTTAGTCACCTTTTACACACCATCATAATAAAATATAATAACATGACCAAAATTAATTGAATGATATTAATATCATCAGCTCTTATATCTTTACACTTTCTTGTGCAATTATTTTTTATTTTTATTTTATCATATTATTCACATATCTTCTGACCTAGCCCTTGCAATACTGCAGAACATAGTCGATCATGTCAATTAATTTGGATGATGAATGTAGAAGGTCAACTAAGAATGAGTATCAGACATCAGTTTCCACAACAATAATGCTAGCAATGAAAGCTAGATCCATCCTGCTTACGTTTATAAAGAAAGGAATAATCATAAAGAGAAACTACGATCACTACACAAGATGATTATGGTTTCTGACCTACGAATCATTCTAACCTATAGGTAGAACATCAAAATTTGTGCGTGAACAACACTCTTAGTTCACCTTTACTTAAAAGTAATTACAACAGCAATGTTAAAAGTATGGAGAATACTAACAAGTGCTTTTAAGGTATCTGTTAAAGGAATAAAGAAATAATTTTATGAAAAATATTTTTATTATATTAAAAAAAAGCATTTATTCAACACTGATTTTTAAAAAAAAAATAAGAATAAAATAAGTTAATACACATTAAGCTTTATTTTTATGAATTTTCTTAGTAAGATCCACAAGTTATATACTTTAATGAAAAATGTTAATAATAATAGTGTGTGTGTGATATGTTAACATACACCTACCTGTTTTCTCGAAGTATTTTAGCAAGCTATACATTGAATGCACTTTAAGAAAATTAAAACTAAAACTTTCTAACACACTTTTTTTTTAAGTGTACGCTAGCAACTATAAGTATTAATATATATTTACTTATTTTTTAGTTGGGGTAGGTTAGCAAACGACATATTTTATATATTTAAAGGAAACATAATTATAGTTTATTAAAATATTCATTTTAATTCTGATACCTCCTCATTCTAGAAAAGTTCAATCCAAATATTCGGTAGGCCTTTTTTGTGGTCAATTTGGATAGTCCTAGTTCCTAAATATCAAGTATGAAAAAAAAAGACTACTCCTCCATAATCCCTTGTTGAGGCCCAATTGATGCCCCAATAGTGCACGTAGCCCGTTGGGCATGAGAAATATTTGGATTTTACAATTTTAACTCGAAAAACAACAGAAAACCCAAAAAAAAAAAAAAGAAAAAAAAAAAGGAAGCGCTTGGTGTTAGAAAACCAGAGCATGATGGCGGTCATATAAAACCTCAAATCCAAACCCTAAAATATCCACCGCCGTTCTCATCTGTCTTCCCAGTCCTCACAGCAACTTTTCTTCACGCATCTCTAACGGTAATACTCTTTCTAATCTCTATCTATCTTCCCCCAACAACAAACCCTACTGAACCTCTTCTCTTCACTTTCTTCATTTTATCCCCTTTTCCAATTGCTTGATATATTTGAACTTGTCAATTCAGTTTATTCGATCTACAAAAACTCGAATCCCATTCATTTTTTTAATTTAATGGAAACCCCAGATTATGGGAATATTTGGAGCCATTAAAAAAAATGATTTTTTTAATCGCGTGGAACGTTCTTAAGCATCTTCAATTTTTGGTGTGTGGATGCAGTTACCTAAAGTAAGAGTAAAAATGAGTAGAGGAGGTGCAGCAGGTGCGAAGGGAAAGAAAAAGGGAGCTACATTCACCATTGACTGTGGAAAGCCGGTGGAGGATAAGATCATGGACATTGCTTCTCTTGAGAAGTTTCTTCAAGAGAGGATCAAGGTTGGTGGCAAAGCTGGTGCTCTTGGTGATACTGTCACTGTTACCCGTGAGAAGAGCAAGATCACTGTTACCTCTGATAGTAACTTCTCCAAACGGTATTTTTTTTTTCCCCTCTTTTGCCTTTCATAGTTTCATTTATCTATAGTGTGCAAAATCATTATTTACAATTATGGATGCCATGTTATCATTAGATTGTATATATGCTCTCTTACTTGTTTTTATGTTATATTTTCAATCATTGGGTTGCTGGAGTTTTTTATATATTGGTAAATGGATAGTGCTTGAAATAATTGATTGTTTTTTCTTTCTTTCTCTATTTCCCTAACTATTGATTCTTTCCATCAGGACGTTTTGGTTGTTGTAGTTGTTGTCTTGGCTACATGTTCTATTGAAGTTCTACTATCGATAAAAGCAATTCGTGGAAGGCTCTTTTGTATTTTGTTTGTGTAGATTGCTAGTGTATGCTTTGTGTGATAACAATTTTGTTCCATATTCACATCATATGATCTGTGTTTTGGACTTGGATTATATTTCCACGCTTGATTTGATGTTTTTTGAACTTTCCTTTATTCATTTTGACTTCCATAAACTGAGGTCTGAGTGTTTAACTGCTCGTATGGTTCCAGCTATTTGAAGTACTTGACTAAGAAGTACTTGAAGAAACACAATGTTCGTGACTGGCTTAGAGTAATTGCTTCAAACAAAGATAGAAGTGTTTATGAACTGAGGTATTTCAACATTGCCGAGAATGAGGGAGAGGAAGAAGATTAATTGTCTGATAACCTTATTTATTTGAGAGAACATTGTTTATCCTTTTCCTGTAGCTAGCTTTCATTTGGCAAGTATTGCTTGAGATACGATGCTTTGTTTTGATCAGTTGCAATTTAACAGTTTTGATCATTTAAGAGTTGTGGCGCAATTGATGTTGAATTGGGAATAGAATTTACATATTTTGTTGTGTTTGTTACGTCTTTAGATACAGTGCATTGTGTTTCTTTCATTATATCTCATATAATTACACTTCCCCAGGTCGGCTAAATTCCCCCTTCTGTTCCCTAATTTTCCTTCCCAATTTGTTTGCACTCGAGGTAGATTGATCACACCTAGTATTTTTATAGTACCCATGCTTATTTATGTAATTTTTGTGGTCGAGGAAACTAATTCTTTGGTGGGATGACTAACAATTTTACTTAATCAACCGAACACATTTCATTCTTTTAATCTCACTTGTAAATGTGCCCGGACACATCAATTATTTCAAAATTAATTCTTTCATAATCAAATTTATCAAAATCTAAAACACGTGGTTTGAATTGCTTCATGGCAGTTACCATGTTTTCTTTTGTAGATTGCAGTGTGATGGGTGGTTGGTCGGACTCGTAGCAAAAATAGGGTCTAAGAATGTAATATATGTTATACAAAATTGAGAGGGAAACAAAAAAAAAAAGAGTTGGAGAAAGATATCATAGAAAATGTTTAAGAATGGAATAATATTAATTCTGTGTATATGTCAACATGTTAAGTTTACCACTTACCCTTTCATTTCTACCTTATTCTCGCGTCACAAAAAAAATCCTCAAATATGAAGTCATGCATACCAGGTAGTATAGAAAGGGCTTGTTAAGAATCTTATAGATGTACTTAAGACAATATAATTGTTACAGTATAATATTTAGTAAACGGTTGGAATGCAGTGGACAAGACAATTGTACCACTTGGCAAGAGGATTTGACACGACTGCTGAGGGTTGAAGTGAGTTGAGTTTGGCTTGTTTTTCTAAATAAAGGGTGTTAGTGTCTCATTGGTTAGGCGTTGGCAGCTTCAAACTATATTTTTATAATGAAAATAAATGCATCTATTTAACCAAGATTCTAATGTATTAGGATTCATGAAATTGCGTTAAGATTCGTAAAGAGAACTTGACACAATTTTCTTAAGTTTCATTTACAGCATGTTTATTAGATAATTATTTTATGTAAAAATTGAGAATTTATCACTATTATCCAACGTGTAATATATCGTAATTGCTATTTCTTAATTGTTAATATTGATCATCTTTTTATTTCTTAATTTTTTTAATGTCTATTTAAAGAAACGTTAAAAAAAACTGTAAATTAAATTGGTTTGGATTCTTCCATTTAGCTGTGAATGAAATTCACTACAAATATAAGACTATGTATCTATTTGACAAACACTTGAAATAAATTGTATCCACTATAACTATTGGTTTAATATAAAATTAACAATTAAAAATAATTCAAATACATATTATTTTATTAATTTAAAAATATTTTATTTTAAAATAAAAACCCATACCTTGTTATTATCAGATACTTAAATTCAATTCTAAAAATAAAATTGATATTATTATTCATTTAATTTTCTTCCTCCTAATTATCCTCACTTAAATATCTTAATTCCAACGAAGGGTAAATCCAACTCAAACACAGAAACAGCCAAAAATGTTTAAATGAGGCCCATAAAGATGTATTCGTGACTTTCAAGAGTTCAATAACTTCTCCCTCACTACTTCCATCTTTCTGGATTGCGTGTTCGAAACTTCGAATGACATCTAGACATTCAAAATGACAAGTGTTAATAATATTGTATTAGTAGTTTGCCATAAAATTTTGTAAGAGAACTTATAAAACAATAAGAAAGATAAAAGAACATATGATTTCAAGAATGTTTATACAACTTTATCGTATGGATAGGTATTTATAAATAATATTATGTTTGATATATTTTATTAAAGAAAATAATTCATTATTTAATGAATTTTATCAATTTTTATGTTAAAAATGAAAAAGAATGTATTGTAATAATGAAAAAAAATCATTATTCAATGAATTTTATCAAATTTTATTAAAAGAATGAAAAGAATGTATTGCACAAGTTGTTGGTACTATCAAATTCTCAGCATTAAAATGCCTTTTTGACTTTATTTTTTTGTCTCTCTCTCTCTTGCCATTGCTTGCTTCTGAAGGTTCGTCCACGTTGGCAACATTGTCTCCCCCATAAGTTACATTTCAATTTCCAACACACAGAAAATCCAAATGACATGCAGAACTAAAATGAGGCAGCAACACCCACAGAGCCCCCCCACTTTTTAAGGCAAACTTCCACTTCCAATGCTACTTCCATTGTTACTTATTGGGAAAGTATCCATACAAAACATCTCTCAACTCTCCCCTTTAAAGACACACAAAATTATACTCTCACTATTTCACATTAAACATTACTTTAATATATTTTTACTTGTCTTAACTTATTTATCATTTTAAATTATTAATAAAGTATTATTTTTTAATAACTGTAATACTTAATGTAAGAATGATTATTAACAACTAACAATTTTTATAATTTTAACACTTTTAATGTGCCAATGAAATCAATTTATTTTTTACTATTATAATTAAGCTGTGTATATTAATACTCAATGACACACAATATGAGATGTAGGGAATAATAATTATAACAAATAATATAAAATGAAAAATAAAAAAGGGTAAATAAATAGTAACAATGCTCATATTGTTACTATTTATTTATGTTTGCCTAAGAATTCACTCTGCAGATAGCAAAAAGGGGAGGCCAAGTACCACTTCATTACATCATCTTGTTCGTCACACTTGGTCAACCACTTCCATTGCCTCAGTCAAAAACCAAAAGGGTTCATCTCCTAGTCTCCTCCATTAATTACTGAAAATTGATTAGCACCGACTCCTTTTAAAAAAAATAATAGGAGATATTTTTAATTTAAAATTGGAAGTTTGAACCGTACAGTAACAGTAGTAGTTATTACAACTACAATAATAGAGAGTGTTATTTAGTGCTGATAATATAAACTCCATATGATTATGAGAAAATTACTATTTGAGTGCTGCTAAATTTGCACTGGAAACTTTGTTCTTGAATGAGACTATGGATTAAGGAGACGTTTAAATTAAATGGAGAATTGAATAGCAACCATAATAAAGCCTTTTCTCGATAAGTAAGATTGATTACGTGAATCAAATATTGATCTAGCTTTAAGATTAGGATTTGCTCAAACAGCCTTATGCATTGTTACTACACGCTTATAAAATTGATTAATTATATCCTGATTTTTCATTTGGCTATGGAGGCAGCCACATGAATAAACATTAGTATTATTGTTATTTTTCATTCCAGAAATGGCCTTTATAAATTCATTAAACAGGTGTAAACTGGAAATTACTGACTCGTAAAATTGTTCAGTCCTTACAATTTAGTTCTTAAAAGTGATTATGAACCCCCAAAACTACGAATTATCTCTTAAATTTATAAAAATATGTATTAACGCGATCATTTTTATATGTTTCACTGTATATCATATGGACTAATTTGATGAATTTTATAAATTTAAAAATCAATCCATGCACATAATTAAATTTAGAGATAAAACTATAAAAAAACAGGATAATCTTATGCTCTTAAAGAAATTAATCATTATCATGAATAACAATCTAAGTAAATTGTGACAAAATAACATTCAGAACAAATATAAAAGATCTTATCAACTTTTTGGGTCTAGTGAGCGAAATGCACCGTGCAATGAGTTGGTTAAACTAACAAAAGAATTGACAGTATATATTTGTAAAGGAGAAGCAGAGAATAATGTCAAGTTTTTAAAAACGGAAATATTATCAGTATTTCCCAATGCATAGCAGCTTATTACGTGTTCCTAAGCTGAATGAAATCAAGAGGCTTGGGCACACTGAATCAGAAATGAAGATAGCTCTGTATGTCAACCTTCTTCAACTCCTACTGCTTCCAACCATTTTGAAGTTTGCTGCAATTCCAATTCACCCTGCAAAATAAGAATCACAAGAAAAGCTCTTTTTTTTTAAGGTAATACTCAACAAATTGGCATTCAAGAATGTGCATGCAAGGATCTCCTCCTATAATTCACGTGTATAAAAGTTGTTTTACCTCAAAATTAAACATTTTATTATTAAAAAAAATGAAAAATGTTGAGCTCAACTCCTCAAGCCACAGAAAATAGACTTAATAATGGTAAAATTTTATTAAAAAATATTTATTTGTTGTTTTTAAATAATAATTTTCTACCTGATTAACTTGGAACTAAAGCTGCGGGATTATTAGTAGAAAATGCATGAGAGAGATAAAGAAAGGAAAGAGTGAGGGTAACCGTGGTTCTCTAATTACTTAGGATCATTGATAATCCTACCAAAAATTAAACTAAATTGGCTCATGTTGAGCTTACAAGAAGAAAGAAGATGGAAGGAAAATCATGTTGGAAAAGGAGAGCACGTGCAAAATCAGCTTGAGCAATGCTCGAATTTGAGAGATGATGAGTGTTGCACGTGCCCTGCTTCTCCAACAAGACCTACCCACCAATCATAAAAGCATGGTAGGAATGGTTCAGTTGAGAGTTGAGAGAGGTATGAGAAGCTCATGCAATCATGCATTTATATACCCGTTGTGAAGAGGGAGAGTAATTATTAGTAGATGTGTGAGTGTGGAAGAGAATTTAAGAGATTGAGTCTCAAAGTGGGTATTCTTTAAAGACCCATATGAGCTAAAGAAGCAATCATGAACTTCCCCGACGTACATTGCGTATTGTTTGGACTTTTGGAAGGTCTTCCCGTTTGAAAAACCTGATTGTGAGTAACTTTGATTATGGCTCTTCCACCAAGAATTTATAGTTGCGAGAAATACGTAGAGCAATATAATAATTTGCTTCTAGACATTTGCACGTTCTTGGTGATGGAAAAGTGTGGTTGCATCGTGGTTGTGTGAAGATTGGAACTGATAACAGTCATGGTATTCTAGATTTGACCTTAAATTTGACATGGCCCCACTGAATCTTATTCTTACATGCTCATCAACGTTTGAATTTGATTGAATAAAGATGCACTCATTATCGTTGCGTATGTGTCAGTTTTGTGGGACACTTTTCTGCCGCCCAAGGCAATCCCACTTTTTAAACAATGGAAAATCAATGTTAAACAAAAACAATTAGATCTGATATGCAACAACGAGGGATGTAAGATA